AATCAATTCACACATGGCTGTGGCTACAGCAGAGGTCAGTGCTGTGAAAGAAGAGCCAGGAGCTGGGAACAAGAGTGGCAGTGGGACCTGGAGGTCCAGGATGCCCCTCTCTCTGCCAGAGGGACTTCTAAGCTGGAGGAGGAGCAGGAGTTGACTGGGTGAGCAGTCGGCCAAGCTGCAGGGAGTGCTGCAGGCGGCCCAAGGGATTGAGGGGCCTGGTGAAGAGACAATTCACAAAGGGGGGGCGCAGGGGGCGCACAGGGCTGAGTGAGGAGAGAGAGATCCAGTTCTAGGAGCCGAGAAAAGGCCCCTGGGGCGACAGTGGGAAGGGGAGCAAGCTTTGGGAGGTGGGAGGCCACGGGTGGAGTCTGGGTTTTATTTTCTCTGCGGTTGGGGCAGTATCGGGGTGGAGGCGGTGCTGTTGATCTAGCTTGGATGCAGTGAAGACACATTTGGGGGGTGGAACCCAGAATCTGGGTGAAATGAAGGGCGCCAAGAGGCAGGTGGCATGAATGGCTCTGGTTGGGACTTGCTGAGATAGAGATGCTTGTGTGATCCAAGTGGAGACTCCTGGAGACGCAGACTCAGGGTCCTCAGCATACGGGGACATTTCGGGCCATGGGAAAGGATGGGCTTAGCTCAGAAGAGAAGAGAACCAGGCGAACCAGGGAGGGCACCATTCCCAGGTCTGGGAGAGGAGGCAGTCAGAAGCGACTAGAACAGCTGGAGGGAGCAGAGAGAAGGAAACCAGGAGCAGGATGCAGGAAGAGCCAAGAGGAGTGCGTGTGTGTGTGAGGGGTGAGGGGAGGGATGTGTGTCGCCAGCAGTGTCCAATGCTGCTGAGAGCAGGTTGGGGGTAAGGAAAGCCCTTCTCAGGGGCTGCCCAGGGGACTCGGTGACCTGAAGCAGTGAAAGTGAGCCCCTCAGCCCAGTGCTTGGCACGTAATGAGTGCTCAAGAACTGTTACCTACTGCCATTGCCAAACTCCTTAGGCTGGGGGGAGGGGACAGCACCCCCAAGTGGGTTTTTGAGGGGACTAGGATGGGGGAACTGTTTACAAAGGGCTAAAGAGACCACGGAGGGCAGCAGAGGGAAGCAGAGCCCCCCTAAAGGGACTAGGAGAGGGAGCCACCTCCCCTGCGACCTGCCCCTAGAGAGGAGGCACAGGAGCTGGAGCTGCGGCCTGCAGCTCCATCCACCTGCATCCCACAGGGAGGGAGCTGGGGAGATAAACATTTCGGTAGCCTCCTCCTGCCTCGTTGTCAAGCCTCCCAGGGCTGAACCTGAAAAGAATCCTTCCCGCAGGGGAGCCTGGGTGGGTACACCTCACATTGGCTTCGTGGCCCCAAGCAGGGAGGACAATGGTGCAAGGTGGGTCTGCGGGGCGGACCGCCACAGTCCACACACGCGGTGTCTTTGGCCTGGCCACCTTTTCTATTCTCATCTTCTGTGTCCCCACATGCAGCCACCCCGCCTTCCTGGAATCTACTGGCACATTTCCATGCCTTCAAGATATAAGTTCTCCTGTCAGTCCAAGGAGACCATGACCTCTGCAGTCATTCCAGATCGTTCTTGCTGCTTAACAGGCCTCCCACCATCATTTCTGCCTGCTCCGATCCCTCTTCCACCTGGTGCCAGAGTTGCTTTTTAAAGCCTACTTCCAACCATGCTATTCCCCTGCTTTAAAAACCTCCAGTGGCTTCTCTTCGCTCACCTGCGCCTACAAATTTCTCCGTGCCTCAAAGGTGCTGGACTCAGTCCTTTGCCCCGGTCGGGGTTCCTGCCCGGGCGAGGCACTTCCGTATGTCTCTCTCTAAAACAACGGCCCTGGCCCTCTGGGTCACACCGCCTGTTTGTTTCCTGCTGCAGCCCATCACAGCCTGCAACTGTCTTCTTTGTGAGTTTGCTTATTTGATCATTGTCGATCTCACCGCCCTCCCAGGAAGGCACAAACTCTAGGTCCTAGCCCAGGGCTATACACAGAGGCTGCTACAGTTTGTTGGCTGAATGGAGCGAGGCCACAAGAGCACTCAGCCTTTCCTGTGCACTTGGCGCTGTCACGGTACTTCTTCCTGCCAGCACCCTCCAAAGCGGGAGTCCGAGGCTCCGCGCAATAGAACAATTAGACCCAGGTCATCCGGTGATAAGGCGGGGGGACTGAACTCAGCTCTGCCCGACCCAACACCTACACAGTGCTCCTGGGGTGGAGGAAGGTGGGGTCCCACAGGTGTCCTAAAGATAGGTGGTGGGACCCCAAAGACAATGGGGGCTTTGCTGGAATGGGGCAAAGAAGAGCCAGGGGAGGAGTGTTATTATTTTTATCATTGTATCATCTGGTCTTTTTCTGTTTCACAGAAATGTCAGGTTAGTTCACATTGCAATAAAAAATGAAAAGGAAAGCCACCCCCTTTTCAGATCCTGTTAATGTGAAAATACAATAATGTAAGTTATGATTTTCAGAGCCGTAGATATGTGACAAAAGCCACTTATTGCCATCTGAACTTGACCCCCAAATGAGGCAGTGGGGAAGGGTGTAGTGGAGCTGTATGTGAAAATGCCACCATCGTGCGTGCTATCACTCAGGAATGGGCCTAACTACCGCCATTCAACGGTGCCACGGGTGTCGGGCTGGCTCATGAGAGCGTGTGCCAAATTTCATGGCAAGGGAATGATATGAAAGAGGCCGAGCCCACTGCTTCCCAGACGACTGGTCTGCCCACCATGACTGCTGTAAATGGGCGTTACCATCAGCATTTCTGGGACCTTCTACATGCTCACCCCTGTCAAGGACTGGGAGGGACTCAGAGGCATAAATTCCTTTACTTTGTGCCCCCTCAATGATGGTGGGCATGCTGCCACATCTGGTGCAATGGTGGATCCAGGCAGAAATGGTAACAACCTGGACAGCGCTGGTTCGATCAACAACTTGATTCCCGTTCGTTTCATCAGAGTAGGGGCGCTTAGCGTTGGCATAATGCTCTATATAGTTTGATCATTTGTGATTTGTTTCCAAGGTTAGCTGACAACATTGCCACCGAAAGCCCTCTGTTGGGCGGCAGGGTCGTTACTGATATTATTTATTTCACATTTGGGACTCTGACTCAGCAACCACAGCCACATTGCTTTCCAGTGGGGGCTGCCCTTCTAAGTAGGTATAACTGGTCCTGTTTTGCCAGTGAGTAATTGAAGACCAGAGAGGTGAGGTAAATTACTCCAGGTAACGCAGCCAGTGAAGAGCAGGTCCAGGATCAATCCCAGGCCTGCCTCACTCCAAGCCTGCGGGTTGTCCCCCTTGCCTGTGGAACTTGAGGCAGGCAGGGGCCCTGAGTGGGGAAAGGTGATGGGAACTGCCTTGAGTAGTGGGAGGAGATGAGGGGCCAAGGGCCAGGTTTGTAGGACTTTGGAGAACATTAGTATGGACTTTGGATTTTCATCTAAATGTAATAGAAAGATGCCAGAGGCTTTTAAGCAAAAGAGTGACATGATCTGATTTATATCTTAAAAGAATTACTCAGTTTCCTGCTCTGCAAAATGGGGATAACAGTAGTACCTGCCCCAGAAGGTTGTCATGAGAAAATGCAAGGGATTAAATGGGAGGGTGAGTGTGAGGGTCTGAGTTGGTGCCAGGAAGAACAGGCTGTTGAACAGATATTGGCCAGGAGGCTGACTCAGAAGGGTGGGCTGAAGAAATCAGGGTGGGGCTGGGAGCGGACAGCGAGGACCTGGAAGCTCTGTGCGCACAGGCTAGAGTCTGAGTCCCTCTAGTCGGTTTGGCAGAACTGACCTGGAGTCAGGCCCTAAGTCAGCCACACTGCTGCCCAAGAGCCTGCTGGTAGATGGTGAGGGCGAAGAGGAACACAGGGCTCTCCAAGACAGCAAGAGGCAGCAAGGGTCTGAAAATGGCAATTCCAATGACTCTGTGTGTAGGAAGAAGATGGGGCTGGAAGGAGGGCACTCAATCTTCAGGTGATATTGTGGAAGCACATGCTGTATAACCAAAGGAGGAGGTTGCTGATGAGATTATGGGGGTCTGAACCCCGGCAAACAGCCTTGGGGTGCCGGAGGATGCACATCTGGAGATCACTGCCTGCCCCATCTGGCTTCTCCAAGCCTAGCGAGGGAGATGTGTATGGAAAAGAACACAGAAGAGGGCGGGAAAATCACTAAGACCAATGTTAGGAGCACCAGTAATTTTAATAGCATCTTACCCAAGGAAAGCATAACGGTCACCCGCCAGTGTAATAAACTCCCCCCCGCCCCACTCCAGCATTACTCCGCTGCGGCTGCTACAGGAACTGCGCATGCCCAGTACAGAGCTTCCCGCCCCCCCCGCCCCGCCCCGCCCCAGTCAACACTGAAAAAAGTGCTGTACTTTAAAAAAAGTGGGAGCTGACTTTGGGTGAGTCCCAGGTCTTAGGTTAGGTAGGAGAAGAGACTGGGACACGAAACATGCAAATAGGCTGAAAGGTATAGAAAACGAGAATGGTCTCTGCTTGGTCTGCCTTGCAGGTTGAAGTGAGAAGTACTGAGGCCTGAAAAGTCTCCACGCGCAAGCAAGAGGGTGTTTGTTATTAGCAAGGGTGTTGTGATGACGCCAGTGCTCCCCGCCCCTCCCCGGGTCAATGGTCCGGCCTGCGCGGAAAGGGGCTTAAGCCCTAGGACAGACGGAGGCCAGCGGGGATTTCTCGAGCCAAGAGATAACCCTCCATCCGCGGCGGGCAGAAACGGCGACTGCGCAGTCACTTCCGGGCCCTGTGATCAGAGAAGAGTTACCGCGAAGTCTCTCTTGAGGCCCCGCCTGCCAGTCGAAAGTTTTTGTCCACTGGGTTCCCCCGGCGCGGGGCGAACTGCGCAAGGCTCAGTCTGCGCAGGCACGCCCCACTCCGGGCACCGTGACCTCCGAGAAGCACTCTGTACGTAATTTCCGCCCTCGTTTTTTTTTTTTTCCCAACGTGGAGGGGGAGGAGCCAGAGAAAGGCGCTCTACCTGTGTGTCACTTCCGTCGAGCCTAGCGGCGACAACGGCAACATGGCTCTGAATGGCGCTGGTGAGGACTTGAGCTGAGGGGTTCTGCGGCTGCGGGGTACGGGAGGTAGCCCATTTCGGCAAGAAACCCAGGTCCCTTGTGCCTTTCTTTCTCCAGAAGTCGACGATTTCTCCTGGGAGCCTCCAACCGAAGCGGAAACGAAGGTGCTGCAAGCCCGACGGGAGCGGCAGGATCGCATCTCCGCGCTCATGGGCGACTACCTGCTGCGTGGTTACCGCATGCTGGGCGAGACGTGCGGGGACTGTGGGGTGAGGAGATACTCGGGACGTGGAATCGGGGATGAGGCCACAGACTTGGCCGCACGGCCCTTCCGCAGCCTCTTCTCTCTGGACCTTTGTCCAGCGTCTCACCCCTGCTCCTTGTGCTTTCTGGCCCCTAGACGATCCTCCTCCAAAACAAACAGCGGCAGATCTACTGCGTGGCTTGTCAGGAGCTCGACTCAGACGTGGATAAAGATAATCCGGGTGAGGGGCTGAGTGTGCTTGGTGGAGACACGTGATAGAGCCCTGGGAACAGTGGGCATGGGAGGTGACAGTGGCGTCCTTGAGTGGGATGGAGGTAAGGTGCTTTCTTTTAGCTCTGTAGAGGAGCATGCATTCAGTAAGAGCACTGAGCACCTCCCGTGTGCCAGACACTACGGAGAGTCCCAGCTCAATCAGGCATAGTCCTGGTGGAAGAGATGAATCAGGGACATAAGTAAATCTGATACAAAGAAGAAAATGAATGCGTTGCCTTATAGAGTGGCAGGGAAAACATGTCGAGCACAGAAAGAGCAGAGCAGTAGGGAGTAAGTAAGGAGGTGGCTCAGGGCTGAGGGTGGGCCAGGTATCCTGATCATTCCACCTGATTTCTCCTCTTTTAGCTCTGAATGCGCAGGCTGCCCTCTCCCAAGCTCGAGAGCACCAACTCGCCTCTGCCTTGGAGCTCCCTGCAGGCTCTCGGCCCACCCCCCAGCCCCCAGTACCCCGCCCAGAGCACTGTGAGGGAGCTGCAGCAGGGCTCAAGGCAGCCCAGGGGTCGGCCCCTCCTGCTGCACCTCCAAGTGCAGATGTCGTGGCCAGCGCACAGGAGGCCCTCCTGCAGAAGCTGACCTGGGCCTCAGCTGAACTGGGCTCTAGCACCTCCCTGGAGACTAGCATCCAGCTCTGTAGCCTTATCCGGGCTTGTGCAGAGGCCCTGCACAGCCTGCAGCAGCTGCGACACTAGGAGACCCCCCCTCCCCGAGAAAAACCCTCCAGAAAAACAGCCATTCCTCTTGTGTGGTTTGTTCTTTTCATGGTTCCGAGTGTGCATGCCAGTCCCAGCTCCACTCGCCTGTTTCCTGCTTTGGGTCTCGCCCTGCCACTCTCTGATCTCCTTGACGCCCTGAGACATGAGTTGAGCTTGTTTCTGCTCAGTTTTCCCACTCAGGATGATGGGGAGGGAGAGGATTATGTGACAGTTGGCTCCGCAAATGCAGGAACAAGAGGGATGGGCCTCCACAGCACCTCTGTAACTTCCTAAGCCACCCAGTGCTCAGTCCCCACCCTTGAGTGAGATGGGGACTCCAATCCCTTTGGCAGCGTCTCCTTTCCTGAAGCATCCTGGGACCATCATCCTTTCCCACCTCATGCCCAGCCCAGGCACTCAGACACTCACACACTCACAGGGCATCAGGTTGCAAGGTAGGGACCCAGTGTGGATTTACCTCAGTCTCCTGATCCCCAATTTTAGATCCTTTTCCGTGGGAGTTATAATTGGACAAAAGTGTTGAGGAGGAGCGTAAAGAGCTGTGAAGGAACCGTGCCCACCGCTTGTGGTCTCTTCCCTCTCTGTCTCCCTTCTGTGACCCATTCCCTTTACTCAGCTATCGCCGCGTTGGGGCGACTTGGGCCCACAGCCGTTGCCCTTTTAAGAGAGGCCCCGCCCATACGGGGGGTGGGTCAGGGGCGGAGTCGGAGGCGGCGGGGAAGGAACAAAGCCCGGCCTGCTGGCGGCAGCTGGGCTCGGCTGGTGGGGCCCCAGGAGTGCGGGGCCTGCAGGCGGCATCCCAGCCAGAGCGTTGGAGGGTCAGAGGCGGCATCGTCCTCCGCGCCGGCCCGGCCATGAATGGACTGCCCTCGGCCGAGGCGCCGGGCGGCGCGGGCTGCGCCCTTGCCGGACTCCCGCCGCTGCCGCGCGGCCTCAGCGGTCTCCTCAACGCGAGTGGGGGCTCGTGGCGGGAGCTAGAGCGCGTCTACAGCCAGCGCAGCCGCATCCACGATGAGCTGAGCCGTGCGGCCCGCGTCCCTGAAGGGCCCCGTGGTGCCACAGGCGCCGCCAACGCCGGACCTGCCGCCGGTCCCCCCGGACCGCGTCGCCCTGTCAACCTCGACTCGGCATTAGCGGCGCTGCGCAAGGAGATGGTGAGTAGCTGGGCCCGGGCCAGGGGGTTGGGGGGCGCGGGGTGCTGCTGCCGAGCATGGGAGCCCCGAGGTGGGGCAGAGCGCAGAAGCACGGAACCAGGAAAGCGCGGCCTGGGTCTCAGGACACGCAGAAGCCAGTTCGGTGGTCAGAGGATATAGTAACAGTAATTACATCTACCGTTTCTGGCAGTAGTTACCATGAATTTTAAAATGCTTTACACATTTCATTCCATCCTGCTAGATGACTGTTACCCCCTTTTACAGATGAGGGTCAGTGACTTGTGTAAAGAGCCATAGCTTGCAGGTGTCTATGTCCACAAAAACTTGTACTTAGAAAGTGTGGAAAGATTGGCTAGCGCTGTGGTTTGGGCTGAGGGTGGCCTGGTCCCCAACCCCAGCCCACTTTCAGTCTTTTGCAGGTGGGGTTGCGGCAGCTGGACATGTCCCTGCTGTGCCAGCTGTGGGGCCTGTACGAGTCAATCCAGGACTACAAGCACCTGTGCCAAGATTTGAGCCTGTGCCAGGACCTGTCATCCTCCTTGCATTCAGACAGCTCCTACCCACCCGATGCTGGCCTATCTGATGACGAGGAACCTCCTGATGCCAGCCTGCCCCCGGACCCACCACCCCTCACTGTGCCCCAGACACACAATGCTCGTGACCAGTGGCTGCAAGACGCCTTCCATATCAACCTCTGAAGAACTGGGGGTGGGGTGGGAGGTGTGCACCCATGCGAAAGCCTCCGAAACTCACCCCTCAGCAAGTGCTCAGACTATAGTGCCTGCTTTCCCCCACACCGCCTCACCTACAGGAGGGCAAGGCCTGGGCCACTCAGAGGCACAGCTGCCAACCCCCTCTCTCCTGTCTTGGGTTAGCTGGCTCTGGGGCAGGCACCTGGGCTACAGCCTCTGCCCATGGCACTGGACCTCCACTTCCACATGTGTGCACCCAGCTTGGCTAACCTTTAGGCTGGCAGTGGGCCCCAAGCATCTTACAACCCCCTTGGCATCTCTGGGATGCCATCTCCTTGTCACCTGCTGCTGCTCTTGGCAGCTGCTGGCTCAGGAGCATCCCACCTCTGGTCCCTGGGTTCCACTCCCCTAGACAAGGGCTCCAGGACCCATTCTTGCACCCACCCACAATCGGGAGGGCCTAGGCTCCCTGCTGGATATTTAAGTTTAGGGGCCAGCCCCCTGGGCATATAGATAAATAAACAGCCTCAGCGTTCCAGTGTTCTCACTGCTTGGCTCTGGCGCAGGCACGTAGCGGTGTTTCTGGCAAGTGCAGAGCTGCGCTCCGCCAGCGGGTGGCGCCAGGACCCTGAGGAAAAAAAGGCCTGGTGGCGGGACGCGAATCTGCCGTTTCCCGGCTGGGTTGCGGAGCGTTCCAAGCTGGCCCTACTGGGTCCAGTGGTTGTATGTCTGTGGGCGAGTCACTTCCCCTCTCTGGCCGGAGGCCGTAGCCCAACCTTCTTCTCTACTCGCTTTGGGCCTTCCTGGCTAGCTGGGAAGAAAGGAGAAGGAGCCGCCCATCTTGAGAGAAACTTTCCAGTAGGGGAGGAGTTGGGGCAACACAGGAAATGGGTGGGCCCGAACTAACGGGCCTAGAGGCCCCTTGGCGGGAGAGGGGAAGGCGCCTTCAGGAAGGGCCTGGGAGCTAGTGAGTGCCCTATGGGGGGGAGGAAAAGGCTGCAGAGGCCGAAGGGTGTGAAGGCGGTCCCCCCTCCCAGAGGTCAGGCAAGCCCCGGAGGAGAGATGGGGGCAGGGCCCCAGGTTTTGGTACAGAAGATGCGCGGTCAGGGGTGATGGGGGTTCCAGATGCCACCATTCTTCAGTCTCCTACAGACTGCCTAGCCTGGTCCCACAGCACTTGGGACCTTGAAAGTGAAAGGCTTTCTCTTAACAGAAGAAAGGGAGGATCTCGCTGCTGCGACTGGGAGCCAAACCCAGATGTCAGGCCCTGCGGGGGAAGCCTGCACCTTTGGGGATGGTCAGAGCTCATTCCTCTCTGCCCGCACAAAAACACCCCCACAACTTCTGAGGCCAAGAGGAGAGGACCTCGAAATTGCACACTTATGCTTCTGGGGTGCCCATACCCATGCCCTGCTGCACAGTTACTTGCCTCCTGTGGACCAGCTGGTACTCCGGGCAGATGAGACCTCCTGCTTAAGCCGAGCATTTAGCAAGCCCCAGGCTTCTGTCCATTCGCAAACATTGCAAACCTCTGGGCTGGCGGAGGGGGAACTGGCTGATGTGGTGCCCCAGGACTGTTCACAAACTTGGCTTGACTCCTGCAGCTCATTACAGCTCATTACTATGCAGGGTGGGCTGGTAGGTGATAGGGCTCTAATCTAGGTGTGAACAGAGCTGCTAACGCCCAAGGCGTGCTTCCCAAGGAAGGGAGAGTCACACACACACACACACACACACACACACACACACGTTGTGATAACAGATTCTACTTAATGAAACCTCGCAAAATCAGCCAGGCTCCATACTAAATGTAAGGTTTCTAAGTATGAATACAAACTTCCAAGGTTTCATCCTCTCGATTACTCTGTAAAAGGCAGAACTGTAATTATCCCCATTTAACGGAGGTAGAAACTGAGACTCAGAGTGGTAGTGCTTTGCCCAAGGTCACACACTTGCTGGACGTGAGGATTTGAACCTCCGGCTGCTTGTTGGATGTTGGGAGTGTTTTCCCACTTGAAAGCTGAGGAGTCAGGCTTTGAGGATAGAGAATAGGGTGCTGTCCGCAAGTAGAGTCACCCAGGTTGGTACTTGACTCTGTTCCCTCCTGCTTTGGGTAAGAAGTGCGTGGCAAACCCGTGGCTCTGGCTCAGACTCGCACTGTGACCCTCAGCAAGTCTTCCCTTTTCTGAGTCTCTGTTTCCCAGCTTGTGAAACGGTGCCACCAGTGCGCACCCGGCAGGGCTGAGGGCAGGAAGGGAGGCGGACCCGGTTTCGCTAGCGAGGGCTCCACCAAGTTGCTGGTTGCCCTCTCCCCGGCACAGGGCGCGCAAGGAGCGGGCGGGCGCTGTGGTCCTGGCGTCCCGCCCCCTACCCCCCCACCTCACAGTCGCAAAGGCCCCGGAAGCCCGGCCGCTCCGCCCCAGTGCCCGCCCGCCCGCCTTCCGACGGGGGTGCGGCTCCAGGAAACGGCGCGCTCCCTGCTCAGTGCCACAGCGACCCGACACACCCCAGACGACCCCGACGACTCAGCCAGACCATCAGGCAGGCCCCAAAGGCGGCAGCGGGGACAGCGGCCCCGGGTCCGAGCCTGGGACACCGTCGCACAGACGGGGCGGGCAGCACGGCTGGGAGCCTGGGAGGCCATGGGGACTTGGGCGGGGCCAGCGGTCATGGGCCAGCGGGAGACCCAGGTCTGAAGAGCGGCGGCGGGGCAGCGGGGCGGCAGGGGCCATGACCTCCGTGTGGAAGCGCCTGCAGCGTGTGGGCAAGCGGGCTGCCAAGTTCCAGTTTGTGGCTTGTTACCACGAGCTGGTGGTGGAGTGCACCAAGAAATGGTGAGTGGAAGGAGGCCTCGGGGACCCCGGAATGGCTGAGACCCCATCCGGCCTTTGGAGCCTAAGAGAACCCTGTCTCCAGCCCAAGAGCTAAAGTGGCCCCTGTGCCAGCTTGGGCCCTGATGTCCCAGGCACAGAGACTCAAAAGGTCCCTTGCAGCTTGTGAAAACCCCTGGAGTTGGAGGTGTGGAAGCTTTGGGGGAGTGAGGTTAGGACTTCCGGGCCTGAGAATCTGTCGATGCCCACACTTCCCTCAGCTGCGCTCAGGGTCGAGGGGGAGGGAAGCCTCATGTTTTGGGCCAGAGGGATGATTCAGGGCGTCATGAGGAAAGGGAGAAAGGTTTGACGTGTGCCAGCGGCCAGGCTGGGGCAGAAACCTCCAAGGACCTTAGTCTAGCTCAGAACAAGGATGCTGCCCTCCCCCCTCCCCCGCCCATTTGTTGAGCCAGAGGACACCCCCCTCCGTCAGGCAGACTGGACTAGCGGAGGCTGGATTCATCTCCACCATGTCCTTAAAAGGGGAAACTGAGCACTGGGAGGGATGAGGAGGGAGATAGGAGTGTCTTAAAGGGACCTGAGGGCCTAGGAGGTGGTGGGTCCGGGAAGAGAGGGCAAGGTGGGGTAGGGGGAGACATGTGAGGGGTGCAGACCTGGCCTGGGCTGCCAAAGGGCCCAGGGGCATCTCATTCACATGTCCCCACCGCAGCTGCCTCGGCCCGTGCGTCACACCCTAAATATATGTGCTCACTGGTGTCGGCTTCCCTTGGCTGGATTAGGGCACAGCTGTGGGGATCTTAACCGCCAGGCGGGGCTAAATTTAGGCTCCCAAGAGAAAGGGCTGCTGGGGCAGGAGAGACCTTGGGGTCCAATGGGAGGGGAGTGAAAGGAGGCCTGGGTCCCTTGGGTAGCTGCCATGTTCCTGGTCTTGACTGGGTCAGCCAGCGGGCCGTTCAGTCCTATAGCTGAGGCCCAGAGAGGACAGGAGGTGGCCGAAGTAACAGCACAGGGCTGGTACTTGAACTCTGGCCTCTGGCTTCTTCTACCTTCTATCCCAGCACCCTGGGTAAGGTCAGTGGATGCTGGACACAGTCCCAGAGAACAGACCAGGGGGTGTGGGCATTGTCAACGCATGTGAGTCACAGGAGACAGTCAGGGCCTCCTGGGCTTCTAAGCCTGGAGCCCAGGTGAGAAAGCTGCCCCTGCCCAGGTTAGAGCTTCCCAAGGAGGGTGTGCCCAGCCTGAGTCAGGCTCTTCGGCCAGGCCCCGCCCCTCTAGGCACCCCTTGGCCACTTCCCCTTTCTGGGTAGGCCCCATGGATGCCTTTGCTCAGACATCGCCTGCCTGCCGTTTGGGGCTGGGGAAAGAGCCTGGCTCCAGGCCAGAGTCCTTTAGGGTCAGCTTTGTGACCTTGCCTGGCCCCCAGTCTCTCCGAGTCTCAGCATCCTCAAGGGTTGACAGGAGAGCCATTTATCTCGGCTCAGACTCCAGACGGGCAGTGAATTGGGTGAACCCAAGTGTCCTGGCATGGGACTGGGCACAAGCAAGGAGGGCTCTTGGGCTGCCCACAACCATTCCCACTCCGGGGCAGCAGTCGGACCCTCTAACCCAAAGGGACCCTCTCCCTCCAAGGCCTAGCCACGTGTCAGCTCTGTGTCTGGGACTGGGCCCTGCACAGGCGACTCCCCTTGATTTGTGTCTCCTCGCATCTCTGCCTCTCTTCTGAGCCTGCCCCAGCACATGCTGTGAAGCTTAGGTATAACCTGGGAGTCTTCCTGATGCCCCTCACGGGAGTCAGTGTCCCTGCAGAGCTAGCCCAGGGCTCTGGGTTTGAGAGGTGGGAAGCATGGCTGACTCTCCGGGCCCCTGGGCCCAGCAAAGGACTGGGCTTGGAAGGCCCCCGGAGGGTGTCTGTCTCTGACCGCCTCCCACCCTCGGCCCCCACTCTGAACCCAGCACCCCGCCCAGACTTGGACTGCGCACTTACCATTCCCCCTACCTGGAGACCCGCTCCAGACCCTCACACAGCCCGCCCCTTCTAACTCTTGCCTCTGCTCCCGCCCCCAACCTCAGGGAGACCCTAGCGGCTCTCTCCCATCTCCCTGAAGTCCGTGTGTTAGTTTCTTTTTCTTCTGGATCGGCACTCTTTCCTCACCTTCGTTGTCCTCAGCCCCAGAAGGGTCTTGCTTCTGCTTTGCTCTGCTCTAGCCTTAAACTAGACTGGGTGTATAGGATGCGCTCCACATATAGTTGTGAGTGAATGGACTTCTTTTACCCTGGTCTGTGTCTCTTGCAGGGTCCTTGCTGTGTTTCTCTGTATCACTCTGTCTCTGTGTGCCTGTCTTCTGGTATGTCTCTTTCTCCCTGTCTTTCTTCATAATCCCTGCTGACCCACATTGGGCCTTTGCCCTTCTGCTCTCGGCCCCACCCCGCCTCAGCGGCCCCACCCTGCTCCCTGGGGCCCCAGATAAGGGACCGTTCCATACCTCTCCTGGGGGAGGGCGTTTTGGGCAGGGGGAAGACCCTGGACGTGGAGAGGCTGGGCAGCCTGACTGAGTAGTCCCCTCTCCTCCCCCACCGCACCCAGGCAACCGGATAAGTTGGTGGTGGTGTGGACCCGGCGGAACCGACGCGTCTGCTCCAAGGTCAGGGAGATGTTAACTAGGGAGGGGCCGGGGGTGGGGTGGGTCAGTGGGTGAGGGCTAATAGGGTTGTGGAATCATGTTCAGATCAGAATGCAAGGAATGGAAAGATGCAGGCAAGGTTGGAGACCAGGGCAAAGGGGGAGGGGGAGAATTAAGAATGGAAGGAGGACTCAGACTGCTCGCTGTAGGCCCACAGCTGGCAGCCGGGCATCCAGAACCCGTACCGGGGCACCGTGGTGTGGATGGTGCCTGAGAATGTGGACATCTCCGTGACCCTGTACAGGGTGAGTCTCCAGCCCTCCACACGGAAGGGGCTGGGCTGGCAACTACAGCCCTGGGAACCCACAGCGGCCCCCTGGGGGGCTGTCGCTCCAAAGAGGAAAGAACCGAGCCGTGAGACCTAGAATCACATCAGGTCTACTCAGCGTGAGTGGCCCGGAGGTCTCAGAGGAGGTCGTGTTTACCTGCCACGCGCAGTAGGAGAGGCAGCTGGGATCCGGGGAAGCTGGGGAGCACCCCGGGCAGGGTGGACTGGCCTGTGTGAAGGCCCCAACCGAACACCTCCTGAGCCAGCACAGGCTCTGGCCCCGGCGCCGCCCCTGCCCCAGCAGCCCCTGTACTCACCAGCGCCCCCTTTTCCCAGGACCCCCACGTGGACCAGTATGAAGCCAAAGAGTGGACGTTTGTTATTGAGAATGTGAGTGGCCGGAGCGGTTTGAGGTCTGGGGTCTCGGAGACTCTGGGACAGCACTGGTGCCCATTCTCGCTGCCTCTCGCCGCCCCCCCCCAACCCACAGGAGTCCAAGGGGCAGCGGAAGGTGCTGGCCTCGGCCGAGGTGGACCTGGCCCGCCACGCAGGGCCGGTGCCTGCCCAAGTTCCGCTGCGGCTACGGATGAAGGCCAAGTCGGTGAAGGTGGTGCATGCGGAGCTGAGCCTCACCCTCTCGGGAGTGCTGCTGCGCGAGGGCCGTGCCACGTAAGTGCCTGTCTGCCCTCCTTGGCCCCAGTCTGCAGCCTTTGACCCCAGCCCTCACCCTTGACGTCTGACCCCCCCCCCACCAGGGACGATGACATGCAGAGTCTTGCGAGCCTTATGAGCGTGAAGCCTAGTGACGTGGGCAACTTGGACGACTTTGCTGAGAGTGACGAGGAGGAGGCTAATGGTCCAGGGGCCCCCGAGGCACGGGCTCGTGCCCCCCAGCCAGGTGGGCTCACAGCCTGCCATGGACTGAGACCCCTAAGACCTAGGGAGGTGGGGGCCGCTATGTAAGCCACTTACCGTGCTGGGGGCAGGGCCAGCTTGTGCACGCCCAGTGACAGGAGCTCCCTGTTGCCCTGGTAGCCCCCACCTGCTACGCAGCCCTAGTTGTGCGAACTGGGCCCCTGGTACTGCGGTGGCCTGTGTCCTCAGCCGAGCCCTGCGGGACACATTCCCAGTGCCTCCTCGGGCCCCTGGCCTGCCCCTCACCCCAGAGCGGGGCTCCCCAGCTTTCTGTCTGCCCTAGACGGTAGCGCAAGAGTGCACAGAGGGGCCGCGGTACAGTCCGGCCTCACCGCCTCACCACCCAGCTCGTGCTCTGTCACCAGTTTCCTCTTCCCTCCCTTCAGCTTCTTAAGGCTGTCACTCTGTCTGTCCTTCTGGTTTTCTCTCTCTCCTTTTCTCGGCATTCGTGGGCCTGTCTCTTCTCGCAGGCCGGGGCGGTGCCCTGAGGCCAGGGCGGTTCCCAGGTAGGCCCGGCGCTCTAGTTGAAGGGAGGGGGTCACGCCTGCACAGCTCTGCCCTGGGCTGACTATGTGCCCCCTACACCCTTCCCCAGATCCCCCTCGGGAGCTGAAGACACTCCGTGAGGAGGAGGACGAGGGCCGAGTAGCTCGGCCCCAGCAGGCAGGTGAGGCCCAGGCTGGGGCTGGGTGGGACTGGACCTCCGGGCCCAGGGCCCAGGCCTCAGTGCCCACCCCTCCTTCTTGCCCAGCTGCCAGCCCTGCCAGTGCTGAGGATGCCAGACCGGCCCCTGTGAGTGCCCCTGCGCCCCCAGCCAGGGCCTCCCGGGGCCAGGGGTCAGAACCAGCTACTGTAGCCGGGGGCCAGGTGGGGCCTGAAGCCCCAAGGCCCCCCGAAATCCCGCCAGAGACGAGGTGAGCTTTGGAAACAGCCACAGCCCGCGCCCCGCCCACCGATGAGACGGGGCACTCCCCTACCAGCCTGCCTTTCCAGGGCCCCAGCACCGTGAAGAGCGGGGGTGGGGGCTGAGAGTGGGGGCCAGTGACTCTCCTAACACCTCCTCCTGCTCTCTCCTCAGGTCTTCAAGACACCCAGGCCAGGATTTGGCCCCCGTCCCAGCCCCTCGGCTCCGGAAAGGCTCTGATGCCCCCTGGCCCTCAGTCCCCCAAGGGAAGGATGAGGCCCCCAAAGCCTCAGGGGCTCCCCCAGCAGGAGTGGGTTCTGCCGGGGAGACCCAGGTGCAGGCAAACCCTCAGGAAGGAACAGAGGACCAGGGAGCCAGGCCCAGCCCAGGCATTGAGGATGGAGGCTACAGAAACTCTTTAAGGGGGCAGAAAGCCAAGGTTGAGGAAGGTGCCATTGGGAACAGGACAGAGGCCGGTGGGGCGGACACTAAGGCGTCAGGAGTCAGAGAGGTGAACACTAAGAAATCAGAGGTCAGAGCTGGGGAGACTGAAGAAAGTTCAGAAGTTACTCAAGTGGATGCTGAGCAGAGGTCAAAGGTGAGACGTGGGGACACTAAGGGACCAGAGGCTACAGGGGTAATGTCTGAGGCAAGATTCCAGGGGACTCCTGAGGCTCCTCCGAGGGGCTCTCAGGGGAGGACAGGGGTCAGGCCCGGGGATGAGGCCCTTGCTATGCAGTGCTCACTCCCGGCAGAGCCTGCAGGGCATTCTGGGCATTTCAGCAACTCCCAGGGGGCCAGGGCCGCTGCAGGCCAGGAGAGAGAGGGTGCGGAGGTGAGTGATGGGGCCTCTGGTGTTCGGGGGCCAGGCCTGGAGCAGGGCCCCTCTGTTGGAGCAGCAAGCGCCAGGCCCCAGGCGAGCAGGTGCCAGGAAGCCCCACCCGCAGCTGACCAGGGGGCAATGTCTAGGGATGTGGGGGCCTGGGAGGAAGCAACTGGGGACTTGAGGGTCCTGGGAGCAGAGATGGGAGTGGCAGGGTCAGAAGTGTGGGGGACCCAGGAGACAAGAGCAGAGGGGTCAGGGTTCCCACAGACAGAGACTGGGACAGCAGAGGCTGAAATATTTGAGGCCCATGAGACAGAGGCAGCGAGATCAGGGCTCCTGGAATCAGAAGCTGCTGGGATGGCAGGGTCTGAGGAACTGGAGACCCAGAAGACAGAGGCCGGGGCTTCAGGAGCTCTGGAGACAGAGACTCAGATGGCAGAGGCTGAGACACCGAGGACCCAGGAGATAACAGGGGACTCGGGGGTACTGAATATAGAGGCTGAGATAGCAGAACCTATAATATTGGGGGCCCAGGAGACAGAGGTGGGGGGTTCACGGGTCTCAGAAATAAAGTCTGAGATATCAGGGACCCAGGAAACAGAGTTAGGGGATTCTGAGGTTCCAGGGTTTGAGTCTGAGACAGCAGAAGCCGAGATATTGGGGACCCAGGAAAAAACAGCTGAGGGTTCAAGAGTCTCAGACATAGAATCTGAGACAGCAAGGGTCCAAGAAACAGAGGCAGGAGATTCAAGGGTCCCAGGAATAGAGACTGAAGCTGCAAAAGCTGAGATATTGGAAGCTAAGATATTGCAGACCCAGGAGAAAACAGCTGGGGGTTCAGGGGTCACAGGGATGCAGGCTGAGATAGCAGGGGCCCGGGACACAGAGGTGAGGCATTCAGGAGTCTCAGGGCCAGAGGTTAGAGTGGCAGAGGTTGAGGGGCTGGGGACTCAACAGACAGAAACTGCAGTTTTGGAGGCTGAAGAGGCTAAGACCCCGGGGGTCCTGGAGGCAGAGACGGGGCTCTGGGGGAGCCTCACACATGAGGCTTTAAAGGCCCCAGTTACTAAGCATGGAGTTTCAGGGTCCTGGGGAGCAGAGGCAGAGACTTCAGTTTTGCGGGTCCAGGAGGTAGAAACTGAGGCTCTGGGGATTTCAGAGGCCAAGGCTGGGGTTTGGGGAGCCCACGAAGCCAAGATGGAGGTTTTAGGTCTTCCAGAGAACCAATCTGGTATTTTCGAGGCCCAGGAAGCAGAAGCCGGGGTCTTGGGAACCAAGAAGGGGAAAGCAGCTGAGGCCAGCCTGACCGAGGCACAGGTGGCCGCTGGGGCAGGGGCTGGGGTGCCTGGGCCCTCAGGGGCCTCTCCCCCAGAGGAGCCTGAAGAGGACAGGAGGCTGCCGGGCAGCCAGGTAGGGATTGGGGGCCGCCGAGGGCCCAGTCTTCCGTCTCCCACTAACCTGGGGCTGAGCTAACGGCGGTTCTGCATGGGCCCTCCTGGCCGGCTGGGGTGGGGTGGGACAGGGGCTCAGCTGCAAGGAGCCCCCTCACCCCTTCCTCAGGGTGTCCTGGCTCCCCGACCCTGTCTTCCCTGGGCTGCATGGAGCTGGACATCCCTAAGCTGATTTTCTGAGCTGACCCTGAGGCATGGCTGCCCGTGTCCTCTGACCTTGCCTGGGGGCCGCTGATCTTGTAGCTGACTTTGATAGATGACCCAAGAGCTGAAAACTCTTTTGCCTGGCTCCAGGGCTCTGGCTGGCGGTCTCTGGTGACTCCTACAAACGTAGAGCTGGGGTTGTTTTATTCCCAAGGGGCAGAGGGCCCATGTGCACATTTCTAACGTCGTCCCTGCGTCCCCAGGCACAGCCTGCTCTGGTCAGCTCGAGCCAGTCCCTACTGGAGTGGTGCAAGGAAGTCACCGCTGGCTATCGTGGTGTCCGAATCACCAACTTCACTACATCCTGGCGCAACGGTTTGGCCTTCTGTGCCATCCTGCACCGCTTCTATCCAGACAAGATGTGAGCTGCGAGAGAGGGTGGGGATGAATTGGGGAGCCCGCCAGGAGGGCCCTGTGAACCCGGCCTCTGACCAGAGCTCTCTCCACAGAGACTATGCCTCCCTTGACCCGCTCAACATCAAACAGAACAACAAGCAGGTGAGATGGGGAGGGAGCAATGCTTGGAGGGAAAGAGGGTCTAGAGCCAGGACTAGGTCCAAGGTTTGGGGTCCCTCTGTCTGTAGGGGAGGAGTCTGGGCTGTGGGCTCCAGCTGTGGCTTTTGAAGTTCTGCCACCTTTTATACTTGCGGTCTTTAATTGTTTTCCTTAGTTTAGTTTTTGGTGCTTTTTTTTTTCTTAAGCATATTTCCACTAAAAACCACTCTTTTGCTGTGCAGTTGCTGGGTAACAGGCGCGGCCCTGTTGCTACATTTCCTCCAATAGGAGGATGAAGGCGTTGCTAGGCAAACCCTGGCGGCCAGGTCGTCGGGGGCCCTCGTCCATCCGTCAGTCCAGGGCGGGTCCACTGTGTCTCTGGGTAACAGCGGGGTAACACCTGCCACTGCTGACCCCATGCACACCGTTCCTAGGCCTTCGATGGCTTCGCAGCCCTGGGCGTGTCGCGGCTGTTGGAGCCCGCAGACATGGTGCTGCTGTCGGTGCCCGACAAGCTCATCGTCATGACGTACCTGTGCCAGATCCGCGCCTTCTGCACCGGGCAGGAGCTGCAGCTGGTGCAGCTGGAGGGTGGCGGCGGCGCCGGCACGTATCGCGTGGCCAGCACCCAATCCAGCACCCAGTCCAGCTCGTCCAAGGACCTGGACGCCAGTGGCCTTGCACAGCGGCTGCGTGAGCACCGGGCCGAGGCGCCGGAGGAGACCAAGGAAACCAAGGAAGCCACGAGCCCCATGGAAGGGACAGCCCCCGAGGTGGCTTCTAAGGACCGCGGGGCCGAGGCCACCCAGGAGGCGCGCTCTGCGGAGACCCCGGCCGACAGCTCCGGAGCCCGAGCATCGGTGCTCCCGGCGGAGGGTCTGGTGAATGGGGCGGGGGCGCCGGGCGCAGGGAGCAGCACGCGGCTGCGGCGGCTGTCCGTGAACGGGGAGGCGGGGCCGGTGCCCCCGCCCCGCGCACATGGCTCTTTCTCCCACGTGCGCGATGCGGACCTGCTAAAGAAGAGGCGCTCCCGGCTGAGGAACAGCAATTCCTTCTCGACTGACGACCCGGAATCGGGAGGAGCAGTGGGAACCACGGGAGCTGCGGCTGGGGTGAGTGCCTCTCCGCGGAAAGGGGGCCCTGGTGAGCAAAGGGATGAATCCTGAGGGCCCCCAAGGCGTGGCGTGGGGGCTCAGCTGGGCTCGGGGAGGTGATTTCTGATCAGAGGGCCTGTGGTACCCGGGGAGGAGTCAAGCAAGGCCCGCCAGGCCCGGAGCGGCTGCGGGGCTGGGTCCTGGCCATTGCTGCCGGCCTTGGGTATATGCTGGTGGTTTTGAAGTTCGTGGAATAGTAGGAAATTCCCAGAAGGCTCCAGGCTGTCAGCACTCAGCACAGCACTCTGTATGGGCTGTAAAGTGGGCTGGGGCTTTTCTTCCCCTGCAGGGGGCCAGGGGTCACCCAGCAGCTATCCATGCCCTGTAAGTTGGGGGCAAGGTTTCTATACCCAAAGGGGCCGGTCAGCGCCTCCCAACCCCAAGATCCTCTGGCTTGGGTCTTTAATTCCAGATGCTGGAGACCAGTTTCCTTTTCTCTGTGATAATGGGAGGTCGAGACCGGAGACCCTGCTGGGCATCCACATCCTCCCATGCCCTATGGGTCTCAGATCAAAGTCTGCTAGAGTGCCATGTGGTCACTGCAAATCTTAAAGGGGAGATGGTCCCAGAGAGGGCAGGGGTTTGCGCAAGGACTCAGAGCCCCTGAGGTCCAGGCCACGGGCTTTCCGGCAGGGGTCCGCCCATGGACAGGACCCTGCCTGCGATCGCAGGCGCAGCTGTCAGGCTGCTCCAAGCCTTCAGCTGCCCAGGGGCGGCTCCAGAGCTAAGGAAAGGAGGGAATAAACTGGGAAAGGCTTTCTGGAAGAAGCAGCCATTTGAGCCAGGCCGATGAAACGGCCAGGTTTCCCCAGGGTAAGAACGGGAGGGGCGGTTCTAGAGTGGGCGGACCTGCACAGGAGACGCTGGCAGCAGGGCATCCCAGGTCTCAGGAAGGGAGCTGCCAGGGTCCGCGGGTCCGCGGGCGGCGGCGTAGCCAGCCTGGGGAGTAGGGGCCTTGAGCGCAGGGTCAGAGGGACAGACAGCATTGAGCCTGTGATGGGAGACAGAGAGGAGCCCCACGGCACCTGTAGGACTTGTGAGAGACAGGAGTCAGAGGGACACAGCCACCCTGGCCTGTCTGTTGGCCTCTGGACACAGCCTTGTTAATGTGTCGATGGCTCTTTAAATTTTAAAGGGGAGGCTTCTGGACCCAAGTTCCAGCGTCTGGTCCATCTAAGCCAGGACCCCCTCCAGCTGTTGTCCCACCCACAGGAGTTATTTGACCAGTGGGACTGGAGGGGGCTTCTCAGTGGCCACTCCCATCCCCCCATGCCCCACGCGTGCTATGGAAGGATGTCAGGCCAGGCCTCACCCTCGGACACTCCCAAAGTCCTGGAGTGGGATGAAGTCAGGCACCTTGAGGCTGGGGTGGGGCTGAAGCAAAGCCCTGAGGAGGGCCGTACTTCTCTGGTGCAATTCCGCAAGGCTTCCTGGAGGAGGGGCCTTACAGAAGGGTGTAAAAGGGGAATTTGGGTCAGACAGGAGGAAGTATCAGAATTCCCATCAGGGCTGGCGCAAGCGAGCTCAGGCACTGCTGAGGCTGGGGTTTCTCCGCCGCCCTGGCTCAGCCTGCCTGTGGCTGAGCTCTTGCTCTGTGCCTGGCCTGCCCCCACAGCCCCTCGCTGACTCACCGCAGTGCCCCTTCCAGGAACGAATGACTCTCCCGTTTTGCAGATGAGAACAGCAAGGCTCAGGGAGATGAACAAAGACGCAAAGGGAGTTGATAAAGATGTGAAGGCAGGCTCTGAGCCTGAACTCTTAAATAGTGCTTTCTGCTGGGCTCAGCGCTATGGACTGGCTGGGTGACCCGCTTACCCTCTTGGGGCCACTTTCTGAAGATAAGAGGCCAAGGCAGGAAAGTGCTTTGCAAAGTAGCCTGGAGGTACCACTTGTGGGTGCTCATTAAAAAGGGAGTGGTGTCCCCCCCTTGCTGGAGCCCTGCAGTGCCAGGTTACACAGGGCTGGGCTTCCCGCCTGACCTTCAAGAGCACAGAGGGAGGCCCAGGGGCTGTGTTCAGCCCAGAGGCAAAGAGCAAATCGGTGCCCAATCTTGGAAACAAACTTTGGCCTAGATGGCCCTCGGCCCTGCATGAGCCTCATCTCTGACCCTCCATTTCCTCATCTGTAAAGTGGGGATAGTATTCGTCCCTGCCTCCCAGGGTGTTGGGAGGATTAAATGGGCCCATATAGGTACAATGCCCAACATGAATGCTTAATCAATGTCAGCTATTATTGAATAATGTTAATATTAAATGTTTTGTTATTGATGTAACGTGTTACTATGTTAGTCACTGTACCCTGAGTATATTCTCTGGGTCCCACCCTGTCTGCAGGGGTTAACCTCTAGTGAGGGAGACATGGGTAACCAACAGCCACGACGGGGTGAGGGGTGGCATCAGGGCTGTGATGGGGGGGGCCCAGAAGGCCGTGGAGGGAGCACCTGCCCAGCCTGGGGCTCAGGGGGCGCCTCAGGAGGCATGAAGTGCAGGGAGGGAGGCAGAAAGCCACATGGGAGCCCCAAGGGGCCTCGGGAGATGAGCCAAGTCATGAAGGTCAAGTTGGTATATGGCAGACTCCGAGCTGAGGAAGCTATTTGGGGAAGCGAAAGCCCATGACTGCAGCCAGAGGGAGGTATCTGGGTGGGGTTCAGGGTAGTGGGAGTTGAGACCGGAGCTGCCAATAGGCCTTGGCAGCAAGGCTGGGGGCTGAGGTGGGTGTGGTGGAGGTTTTAGGAAGACCCCTCAGTTGTGGCTTGAGGGCTGGGTCAGCAGGCAGGGCAGGGTAGTGGCTGCTTCGGAGGCCAGCGCTGACCCGGGCTGGAGAGGGTGGCACCTGAGCAAGGGGTGTCCAGGGCTGCCTCTCAGAGGGGTGCCGAGTGGGGTATTTCCACCACTTTTCCCTGCTCCGTGGCCTAGAAAGGTGGCCGGAGCAGGAGCCACTGATGGGGCTTGGCTATCAGCTGAGCTGAAAGTGGGGCCCCCCCCAGGTCTGATCTTCCCAGGAAGTCACCAGGGGCAGGGCATATCAGGGGCCAGCCCCTCCATTCCACGCTAAAATTGGTAGTTTCAGCCAACCTCTCTTGTTCTGAGTGATAGGTGAGGTGGGAAAGGCTCTAGGCATAGGAATTGGTAACAGGAGAGCGCCCCCTTTTGGTCAATAGGTAGAGGTGCTGGCTCAGGACAGCCACGTTGGGCCAGCTCCGTGTCACTGTTTGGGACTCTGGCCATAATGAAGATGTCCCCATTAGGTGATGGGAGTCAGAGGTGGCCTGAGGGACCTCTATGGAAGAAGGGGCAAGGGGTAAAGGGGAGACGCTAGCTGGCCCCTTCACGACCTTTCACCCCTGACTCTCGCCCAAGCCCTGTGAGGCCCCAGGAACGAGGATGGTGAGGACCAGTGGATTGGCCCAAGGCTGCGGCCTTCCTTGGAGGAGGCACTGTTCCTGGTTGGGAGCGGGGGCGGGGGGGGGGGTGTTTGCAGCGCTGCGCCTGCAGTACTAGAGGCATAGCTGGGGTAGGCGGGCTGTGAAATTCAGGGCCCTTCTCTATGTGTGCGAGGCGCTGGCTGGCCCCCTGGCGGGGTTGTTGGGGAACCCCTCCAAGCCCTCACTGTCTCTTTCCTCCTCTGCAGGAAGGCCTGAGCTCTGCCCCCAGCTCTGCCCCCAGCCCAGCCACAGCCGCAGCCCCAGCCCCAGCCCCAGTCCCAGTCCCAGCCCCAGCGCCAGCCCCACAGCAGCCCGCTGGTGAGTAGCTATGAAGGGGAGGCTGACCCAGCTCAGCTCAAGCTACTCATAGGTCCTGCACTGGGGACCTCCTGGGGGCAGGTGTCAGTTACAGGTATCTTAACCTGGTCTCTCTCTCTGCAGGTGGGATTCCCCCATCAGAGGAGTCGCCCCCAAGCCCCGGGGAGGAGGCTGGGATGGTAAGGTGGGCTGAAGTGGGAGGAGCTGAGTGGGCACTTCCTAGGCAGGGCCTGGGCTGAACCCCCTTTCTCTCTTCCCCCTCTTTACCCCAGCAACGGTTCCAGGACACCAGTCAGTACGTGTGTGCAGAGCTACAGGCCCTGGAACAGGAACAGAGACAGATAGATGGGCGGGCAGCTGAGGTGGAGACGCAGCTGAGGAGCCTCATGGAATCAGGTGGGCCAGGCATCTAGGGTCTGCTCCCAAACACATGCTGCTGGGGCTGCCCAGTCCTGCAGCCCTTCCTGACCCTGGGAGGAGTTGGGAGGAGGCAAGACTGGGTTCATCGTTCCCATTTACATCCGGGCACACTGAGGGCCTGAGCAGGGAAACAGCTTGCTGGAGGCACACACTCTGGTTTCTGGGATGCCATAAGGGAGCGGGGCCCCTGCCCAACCCCACCGGGGTCGGCGGCAGGCCTGGTGACTGTCCAGGCCCCGGTTCAGGTGCCAACAGGCTGCAGGAGGAGGTGCTGATCCAGGAGTGGTTCACGCTGGTCAACAAGAAGAACGCCCTAATCCGGAGGCAGGACCAGCTGCAGCTGCTGTGAGTGCTGACCCCTCCCTCCCCTCCCAGGCCCCACTCCTGCTCACCCAGGGCCCCGCCCAGCAGAGAAGCTTAGCTGCTTTGTTTAGAGCGACTCCCTGCTTTCTTCTTTCTATGAAGATCTTTTTGACAAATTGCTCAGCCATCTTAATTGTTTTCCTATCTAATTTTCTATATAAAGCATGTACCTCTTAAATCGGTGCTGGTTTTACTAATGAGAGAAAAATGTGGTGCAGGCAGACCTGGGCCGAGGACCCCCGTTTACACCTGTTCCTTTACAGTTAGGAAAACTGAGGCCCAGAGAGGTCCGAGCTGGCTTCCTGTGTGGGGTCAGAAAGCTTTGTAGTCCTGCATGGTGGAGATGGTTTATTTTGGATCATTTTTCAGAATAATTTTAGTTTAATACTTGCTTTACTTGCTTCATGCAAATAATCCCACTGGGGTTGTTATTTTTTACTTATTTTATTTTTTAAGATTTTATTTATTTCTTTCTAGACAGAGGGGAAGGAGGGAGGGAGAAAGAGGGAGAGAAACATCAATGTGTGGTTGCCTCTCACACACGCCCCCTACTGGGGACCTGGCCTGCAACCCAGGCATGTACTATAACTGGGAATCGAACCAGGGACCTTTTGGTTCACAGGCTGGCGCTCAACCCACTGAGCCATGCCAGTTGTTATTTTTTTAAAAAGGATATGGGGGTGGGAAGAGACAATATGAACATCCAGCAGTTGGGGAACAGTTGGAACAAAAGAGGTGACTGACTCCAGGATATAGCTCTGCCCCGAGCCCAGCCCTCCAGGAAATAACTGGTGGGGAGGCGGATGGGGGCCAGGGAGCGCTCGGCTCCCAGGGCCCTCCCTCCCTCCTTCCCTCTCCCCTTCCCTCTCCCCTTCCCCTGACCTGGCACCTCCGTCTCCCAGCATCGAGGAGCAGGACTTGGAACGGAGGTTTGAGCTGCTGAGTCGGGAGCTACGGGCCATGCTGGCCGTCGAAGGTGAGAGATGGTGCCCGAGGGTTTGGGGCCGCGAGGACAGGGCAGCGACCGGCGCCGCCTGACCCTCCGCCTCTTCCGCCCTCAGAATGGCTGAAAACAGCGGCACAGCAGCACCGAGAGCAGCTCCTGCTGGAGGAGCTGGTGTCACTGGTGAACCAGCGCGACGAGCTGGTCCGGGACCTGGACCACAAGGAGCGGATGTGAGTGGGGCCGGGACCGCGCTAGAGCGGGAGAGGGTCCCAGAGCGCGCTCCTCTGAGTGCCGGGTCTGGCCCGCCGCTCGCTGACTTGCACCCGTTCCGTCCCAGCGCCCTGGAGGAGGACGAACGCCTGGAGCGCGGCCTGGAACAGCGACGTCGCAAGCTGAGCCGGCAGCTGAACCGGCGTGAACGCTGTATGCTGAGCTGAGGCCGCGCCGCCGCCGGGAGTGCTCAGCTTTTCTGTCGCTGCTCCCTTTGTGCGCTCCAGACAACCCGGCTCTCGCGGCTGCCGCGCGCGGCCTGTAGGGGCCGCCATCGTCCCTTTACCCGGAGGAGTAGGGTGGCCCAGAGGGCAGGAGAGGCTGGGCGGCCGTGCCGTCGGGCCTTATTTATTTGTCCATGTGTGAGTGTGAGTGTGAGTGTGTGTGTGCGTGTTCGCGGGGTTGGGAGTCCCCGGAGCGCAGCGCAGCGCAGAACCCCTCCCCTCCCTTAGGCAGGGCCCAGGGCCCCGGGCCGGCGGCCAGCCCCAGGGGAGCGGGATGGGTGTGAACTGCCTTGCCCACTCTCCTTCGCTTCCTGTTCCTTGTAAGGAATAAAGCTGGACAAGGCTGCACCAGAGCCGGCTCTTTCTCAGGACAGCTGGGGTTTTCAATAGACGGAAGGGGTTGGCATTTCAGCCGATAAGGTTGTCTGCGATCCCTAACTGGGCTGTGCGGGATTTGAGGTTCCCAGATGCCAGCAGAAGTGGGACCTCATCCTTGGAAGGTTGATGGGGGTTTGGGTTGTTAATAACTGTAGGGAAGAACTATTTAAAAAAAAAAAAGACAAAAGCACAATTGGGGTTGTTGCCTATTTTTATTTTATTTATGTACTCTTAGAGGGAGGGGAGGGGAGGGGAGGGGAAGAAACGCCACTGCGTGAGAGATTCAGTTGCCTCTTGCACCCCCAACAGGTAACTGGGCCCACGATCCAAGCATGTGCCCTGACTGGGAATTGAACCGGCAACCCCACAGTTCACAGGCTGGCACGCAATCCACTGAGCCACACTAGTCAGGACCTGTTTTGTTAACATTTTATTCTCGGAGGTCCTCACAGACACCCTCCCCTCCCATCGCTAGAGGCTTCCTCCTCCGGCTTCTTCCCCTGAAAGGAGTTAACTCCATCACCTGACACCTGTCAGCAAGCCAGGACCTGTTCTGGGGCTGTGGTTGAGGGTGGCAGGGTGCTTAGAGCCAGTTCATCCTGGCCTAGGATGCCACCTTGGTCCTCAGTGGACAAAGGGTCACTGGACCCAAAGAACTTCACTATGGCACGGACCTGTGGCAGCTCCGAGAACGTCTCCACTGCCAGCAGCATGGCCAGGAGCCCCAGGAGCAGGTAACCTGGGGAGGAAAGGTAGCCAGGGCAGCATTTGGGGTGCCGATGATGCTCCCCACCCACCTCCTACCTGGTGACCCACCCTGGCACCTGATGCCACTCATAATTCTGCTGGCTGGTTTCTTCCAACTACAATTCCCTGCACCTGTGAGGCCCAGCCTCCCCAGTGGTTTATGGTAGTTGTAGTTCAGACTCCTCTTCCCTCCTCTCCTCCACGTGCATTCTTTGGCAGCTGAACTCACCAAGAAGTGCCATCTCGCCAAGGTGGTAAAGCACTGGGTTCAGGTGACGGCCATGGCCAGGCAGCAGGTCCCCCAGGCTGATGGTGCTGAGCGAGCCGAAGCAGAAGTAGATGGCCTCCAGCAGGCCACTGTAGCCCTGCAGGCCCCACAGCACCAGTGCTGGCAGCAGCACGAAGGTGCCAGTCACTAGCAGACCCAGCGTAGCTGCCCGCAGCAGTGCAGCCCTGGCTGGGGCCAGCTGCCAACGGACAGCTACCCAGGCGACCGGGCGGCCCAGCAGAGGCAGCAGGCAGTGGCGCAGTGTGACCACAAGTGCTAGGGAAGCTGGCAGCCCCAGGGCTGCATACACCACACAGAAGGCCTTTCCTCCTGCCGATAGCGGGGCCATGCTGCCATAACCTGGACAGGAGCAAGACAGTGGGCAGTGAGCCCCTGAGTGCAATGCCTGCTGGGGTCCCTTCTTCCCCCAACAAACCTCAGGGGAAGGCTGCCCTCTAGCGGCTGAAGTTGCCAGACCTGTTCAGGCCCATGCTCTGTCTAGCTCTGCTCCTCATTCAAGGGTGGGGGCGGGGTGGGTCTTGGGCAAGTAAGTCCCTTAACGTCTCTGGGCTATTCTTGTACCTTCTGGAAAATGAAAGAACTCAAAGAGACAGTATTTCCTCAGGCCTCTTGTAGCTGGAACAATTCTGAGAGTTTCTCTCCGGCCCCAGAGGGAGTCTGGCTTTCTGGGATTCCTCAGCTCCGCCCTGGACCAAAACTTCCACATCCACTGGGCAGAATATCACCCGCTCTTTCGTTCCCGAAAGGTGTATTGAGTTATCCTGTGTGCTGGGCCTTGTGCTGGAATTGGTGTCCGCTCAGGCCCCATCACTTGATGCGGGACTCAGGCAGGAAAAAATGTCAAGACGTTTGATGTGAAGAGCTGCAGAAGAGGCAGCACACATGGGAAAGGCAAGGGAAGCCTGAGCAAAGCCAGGGAGAGTGGGGAGAGTGGGCGAACAGGACCGGCTGGTCCAGAGGTTGTAAACTCGAACGCCTAGAGGAGCCAGATGTGAGACAAAAGGCAGTGGGGGCCGGGGGTCTGCTGTAGAGCGGGCACTCTGTCCAAAAGGGCAGGCCCTGTTCCACTCCAGCCAATACAGTGCCTTGCAGGAATTCTGGTTTAATGGCAAAGGGTTTCTGATTTCTCCAAAAGAAGTTGGAAAACAGACTAATTAAAAAATATATTTAGAGACTTTGCAGATTAAGGAAAAATAAAACAGGCGACCCGGGCTGTGGGTTACCAGGGCTGTGAGTCCCATTGCTTTATTTCTTTCGGCCTTTGCACATGCTGTTCTCTCTGTCAGGAATCCTTAAGCCCCCATCTCTGTGCCCTGGCTAAGATCTCACCAAGACTTTCTCCCCTAGAGCCTTCCCCCACGTTCCCTGCTGATTCGGCACCCCTAATCTGCACTCTCGGGGTTGCTCCATTTGCTTCTGTCCAAGAATCCATCTTTGCCTCAAGGCGCATGGGGTCTGGGCACCTCTCCTGGGTCTCAAAGGGTGCCTAGGGGGTGGGGCTGGGGGCCACACCCCTCCTGGCAGCTGAAGTTGAGGCACCAGTTGGGGTGTGTTGGTGTGAAGAGCTTCTGCTCTGATGTCAGGCCTAATAGGGCCTGGGCTCTGTCTGGCTCTTTGGAGCCGGGGGAAGGGCTGCACCCCAGGGACCCCAGGGGGTGCTGGAATCAGGAGCCCCCTCCTGCCCAGCCCCTGGCAGCCTTACCCGTGGTGGTGAGGATGCTGGCAGTGAAGAGCAGGGCTGAGGGCAGATCCCAGTTCCTGGCCTCTGAGCCATTGCCCAAGCTGGAGACCCCATGGGCCTGGGCTGCCAGGGCGGTGCCCAGCAGCTCCTCCAGTGCCCCGGTTGGCAGACATGCCCCGTACTCCGCCTGGAAAGTGGCCAGTTCAGCCCTGAGTTTGGCCTGGAGCTGGAGTGCTGGAGGCCCCTCCAGGGCCTGGAACACCACAGCCCCGAGCCCTAGAGCCAGCAGGTGGACCACCATCAGTAGCCCGCAGCGGGCCCAGGGCCTCAGGCCCCCCATCGGTGCGCGCGCCCAGGAGTGAGGTGTCCTGGGAGCTGGCTCCTCCACCTGAGGCCCCTGGGAGGGGCTGGCAGGTGGGGCTGGGAGGAGGTGCTGTGTGGGTGGCTGGGAGTGAGGGAAGCTTGGGACACAAGCTGGGGTGAGTGTGAATGGGAGGGAGGGAGGCAGCTCAGGCTGGGAGGTGAGCTGGATCACTCCTCGGTTTCTGGGGCCATTATTTGCCCAATTCCCTGAAGCCGGGGTGGTGAGGGTGGGGTGGAGAAAGGCGAGGCCCAGAGAGGTAAATGACTGGCTCGAAATCACACTGCGGTGGTTGCACAGGGACACGCTCAGTTGGTTGATCAGAGGTGCTCCATTCATCCACTCAGCAGTGGTTTAGATCCTGAGGACACAGGGGAAGAGGACAGACACAGGTCCCTTGCTCCCTGGTGTTCACACAAGAAACATGTTAGCAAGGAAACACGACATGTTCACATTGCCGTCCGCTCCCTGAGGGAAACTCTTGGGTAATGGCAGAGCCTGCGGGAGGGGGAGCTCCCTGGGAAGCCTCCGGCACAAGTGACATGTCAGCTGGGGGGCAGAAGACACCAGTCAAGGTGGGACAGAGCTTGGCTGTGAGAGGAACAGAGGGCCTCGAGGACGAGGGTGTCCCAGGGACCCTACAGAGTGCTACTGCAGGCATCCAAGGTGGAAGGTGGCAGCTGCGTGGGAGAGGAATGTGGGGCTTGGGATGGGCCTAGCGGGGACAGGGCAGGCGAAGGAAGTTGAAGACGTGTGGAGCGCCCCAGACACTTGCCGCCCTCAGGTCTCCCTGCCAAGTCCTTCCTGATAGCCTTCTGTGCCCCGCCCTCCTCCTGAACCCTGGAGACGCAGTGAGTCTGACACCCCTGGAGCACGAAGGGGCGGCGAGCCCAGACTGCAACTCCTATAACCCGCAGAGCCCCGCGGAGGTGAGGAGAGCTGAGTGGAGCCAGGCGCCGGGTGGGTCACTCCTCCTGTGCCTACACCCTGGAACAGACACACACCCAGGGCAAACCCCCAAAAGGCTGCCCAGAGGGCTATGGATTCAAGTTCAGCAAGCTACCCAGGCTTTGCAGCTCCAGCCTAGGAAGGAGTTCCAGCATCACACCAGCCCCCAAGGATAAGCAGGGGCCTTGCGGCAGCGGACTAATCCAGGTGGTCACTCACAATGGTGGGAAAGGCCTAGCAAGGGTGGGGAGGTGGGTGAGGCCAGTTTGCGTGGGTGCCAGGGAGGCTGACCAGGGCCTTCAATGCCTGGCTACAGCCAGTGGACTTGATCCCAGGGGTGGGGTACGGTGCAAGGCACCAGCCTCGGCCCAGGCCGACTGCTGGGAGCATGAAGTCACCATGGTCGTGTGACAGGCTGGTTCCCTGGTCACTTCCAAGAAAGGCAACAGGCTATGCCTGGGGAGACAGCTTGGGGAGTTTATTTGGCTTCATTGGATCCTGAGGCCGAGGCCCCAGACCTGGCCGGGGCAGCAGGAAGGCACCCAGAGAACCCCGGCCCCAGATGACCCCCAGGGCGGGGGGGCGGGGTCCAGGCACTAAGCCCTGGAGCAGGGGCCACAGTAGCAGGACTTGGTCAAAAGTGCTGGTGACAGCTGAGGCCGGCCCCTCTCCCTTGCACCTCCCCTCCTCCCTGCACTACCCTTGGGGGCAATTCCCTGAGACAGGCTATGGTCCTCCCAACCAGCTGGATACAGTGTCAGGCCCGGTGGGGCAGGTAAGTTGGGGGACCCACAGGTTGCAGGTGTGTGGGGGGTGCAGTCCCCCCCATCCAGTGTGAAGGCTTCCTGTGCAGTGTAGTGTTCCTGACCCCCAGAGGGGGTGGGGTCCCTGGGGGAAACCGAGGCAGCCACAGGGGCTCGCCCGGCTCCTGTTCCAGTGTATGTGGCGGCTCCTCTGGGCAGCTGGCGTGTGGGGCAGCAGCCGGCCCCTCAAGGCCCCGCCTCCGGCATCCATGGGGCCTGGGCACCCATGTCTTTGGTCTGTGCCCTGCAGTCCTGAGGCCCCCCCCGGAAGGGGTTGGCAGGTGGAGAGTCCCAGAAGGGGTCTGAGTCTGGGAACAAGGTCCAGGGTGCCCGGCGGGGCGCGGGCTGTGGCGAGGGCAGGGGCGAAGGCCGTGGCCCCGCTGACACGAAGCTCCACGGGTCGATGCGGCTGCGAAGGGGCGAGGGCCGCGGTCGGCTGATGAGGCCCAGCGGCGGTGAGCGTGGGGTGCCCGGGGTGCCGGGAGCAGAGCGCGATATCCCCGGTGGGGGTGACACAGTGCTTCCTGTGAAGGGGGCCAGAGGGGCACAGGCTCAGGCAGCCACCTACTCCTGGGTGTCCCCAGGAGTCACTGCCCTGCTCTGGGCCTGTTTCCCCATCTGGACAGCGGGACACCCAGACGCTAGGGAAGTGCTAGGAACGCTGGCAGCCCCAGGTTGATGCGTCACTTCCACGGCCCCTTGGGTTCCACGGTGCGGCTGTTTATAATGCAGCGTGTAACCGGCAGGCCTCTGGGACGGACGGGCCTAGGCCTGGGCCTGGATCCCAGCTCTGCCCCTTACTAGTGGGAGCCGGGAGTCCCTCGCTCTCTCTGTGCCTTAAAGTTCCTTATTTAAGACACGAGTCTAATAACAGTAGCTAGTTTACAGGGTTCTTACGATGACTGAGACAATCTCTGTAAAGAACCAGAAACTGTACCTGACAATAAGCAACAAGTAGGAATCTGCCATCGTCACTGTTGTCATCCTTACTTCTATTATTTCACAACCAGCCGGGCTGCGCTCCACTCTGCCCCTGACCACTGTGGTGACTGCCCTTAGTATCAGTTCCTTTCACGCATGCCCCCCGGCCTGGTGTGTGGTCCAGCAGAGCACGTGGCCTGCCGCTGGGCCTGACTGCCCACCAGTCCTCCCACTCCCTTCCGTCACCAGGCACAGGGTCTTGCAAAGGGCCACTCACCGAGCCTCTCCTCCTCGCGCCGGCGGCTCTTGGCTGACGGCTGGCCGGCGGAGACACCCAGGTCCAGCAGCAGAGGTGCGGGGGTGGATGGGCCCGGGCTCAACCGGGAGGTGGGGGAGTCTGGCGTCTTGGAGGAAAAGCGGAGGAGCCGCGAGGGGAGCGGAGAGGGGGGCTGGACGGGAGGTGGTGTGGGCTGCGGCGTCGAGGGCGTTTGTTGGGGCTCCCCACGATCGCGGCTCGGGCCCCCGGGTGGCTGCAGGTCACGGCCGAGGCCCAGGGAGGCGAGCAGGGCGGTGCCGCGCAGTAGCGCGCGCTGGATCAGCTTGGGCGTCCCGGAACTGCTGCCGCGTTCCGCCGGGGCTGGGGCCGGCCGCCGTGGGTCCTCCGGCTCCGGGCTCGGCCGAGGCGGGTTACCTGGTGGTGAGGGCAGGGCACAGGTTAGGCTGTCTTCAGGAGGGGCCCCGGGACCTCTCAGTGGTCCTGGCACAAGGATTGAGTTCTGCTCACCACATCTTCACCAGCCCCGCCCACTGTGCCTCCCCGCTTTCTCGCACACACATTCTGGCCTTTCAGAAGAGGGTGAGGGGTGGCAGGGAAGGGCAGTGCAGGCCAAGGAACTGGCAGAGGCAAAGCCTGGGAAACAGCCAGGTGCCCTGGAGCCCAGAGATGGGGGATATGGGTCCGCCAGGAGGCAAGCCAAGGCCAGATCACGGCGGGCCTCAGTAGTCTCAATGGCCAGCCAGGGGCACGTGGAGGGTCCCAGGGACAGAACTAGGACCCGTGCCCTGTGCCCACCTCCTTCTTGACTGGGCAGAACCTGGTCCTTCTGCTTCCCTATCCCCCACTCCAGCGGTAGCTTATTTGAGGTGCACAGGCCAACTCCAACGTGCACATCAGTATCCCTATTTCAGAAAGGAGGAAACTGAGGCTCGGAGACGTCAGTTGTTTGCGTCTGGCCCCAGCTGAACGATTTAGGGGCATTATGTTGCCTGCTCCGCATCACCCCAGGTTCAGAGAGGTTAAAAGCTCGTCTAAGGTGGCACAGCCAGTACGGGGTGGAGCCGGCCTCACTCCAGGCAGGTGCCACGGAGCCTTTGCTCTCCACCACTCTCCAACCAGGCTCCACTCTGGATTTCCGGACATCTGGGTCCTACCTGTGGGCCTAGGGGTCTGTCATTGAGGTGTGGGGGGGCTAAGATGGTCTCCCACAAACCCCAATTTTGTCTGGTCCTCAGCTCTAGGCCCTACTGTGGCTTTCCACTACCACTAGAATAAAGGCCAAGTTCCTTGGCTGGGCCTTCGAAGCCCCAGCACTGTCCCCTCTGCCACCCCCTTCCCTTGGGGCAAGCACAGAGTGGGCCTGCCTGGAGCGGAGCACTGGGATGGGTGCTGAGAGAAAGAAATGCAAGACTGGGGAGAAATGAGTCGCAACTGCGGACCAGGACTTGGCACGGGTGGCGGTGGGGGGGGGGGAGGGTGGGGGCGGCGATGCTGCAGGGGAGCTCCCTGTTCTCAGTCACAACCCTGACCCCGTCTCTCTGACTCTTCAGACAGGTCTCTGCATAAAACTCATCATTTCCAGGCCCTTCCTGAACTGGCTCCTGCTTATTTTTCCAGCTTCGCTCACTCACTCATTCAACAAACTTCTGCTGACAGAGGCACTGTGGGGCTATACCGCTTCACAGACCCAGGGGATGCAGGCCTGGCCCCCTCCGGCCACTCCCTGGCTCTCAGCTCCCCTCTGGGTCCCAGCCAGGCTTCCTCTTGCCTCCCAGCACACCCTCTCCACCCAGCTCAGATGTCACCTCCTCTGTGAGGCTGGTGGTGTGATTTATAATAAAAACATATATATTTGGTCTTCCTCTCACCCCTGGCACAGAGCTCCTAAAACCCTGGGAATTTTCTAAGTGGTAGAATGATAAAGGTAAAAGGAGCACTTTTATTTATTTAAAGAAGCAGTGTTTAAATTCATAACAAACCCTTTGAAGTCACCCGCGCTGGGTCACTTTTGGTAAGCGGTGACTTTTGGTTACTAGGGACATGGGTCTGGTTGCCAGAAAAACCAACTTTGTCATCAGAGGGTTGAAACTTCCAGCCCCGGCCCCTCCAGGGAAGGGAGGGGCTAGACACCGAGTTCAGCCACCAATGATCCCGACAATCAATCATGCCCACTTAATGAAGCCTCTGTAAGAACCCCAGCTGGAGGGGTTGGAGGACTTTTTGGGAGGGCGCTGATGCCCCTGCCCCGTCCCACATGCCCTGCCCTGCACATCTCTTCGACCTGGTTCTTCTTGATCTGTATCCTTTGTAATTAACTGGTAATCTAGTAAGTAAACTTTTTCTGAGTTCTGTGAGATGCTCTGGCAGACCATCAAACCTGAGAGGGGCTCGGGGGACCTCTGAGTTACAGTCAGCTGGTCAGAGGCACAGACGGCACCTGAAGTGGGGGCAGTCGTGGGGGACTGAGCCCTTAACCTATGGGGTCCAAGTAATTAACTCCAGGCAGATAGTGTTGGAATTGAACTGAATAGTGGGACACCCAGCTGGTATTGGAGAACTCATCAGCGTGGGGAATGACCTCACATGTTTGGTGTCAGGAGTGGAGTGAGTTGAGTGTAGAGAAAAACCAGTGTTTTCCTCCTTTAGAAGTCTTCCCAGAATGCCCCCAACCTGTGCAGTGATTGCTCCTGTTAGCCGTTTGCAGCCCTGCCCTCGCACTCACTGCTTCCGCTGGACTCGTTTATTTGCGAGTCTGCCTCCTCCTCCACACTAGGCCCTCTCCGCGATCCGAGCAGTGTGGACCTCCAACATGATGCCTGGCTCATAAAAATGCATCAATACGTGTTTGATGGGAGAATCCGTTCTTATCAGTCTGGCAACAACCACGTAAGGTGATTGCTATGACCCCATTTTCAAGCTAAAGAAAGTGACCATTTATAGTGAGTTTAAACAGAAGAGGGGAAAAATATATTTCAAATAAGCAAGAAAAATGGGACAAAGCTAAGTTAAGATGGAGTCAGTGCACAATATTTGAGTGGATGGAAGTTCTTGCAGCAAAGGTTGCTGGTTTGATTCCTGGTCAGGGGACATGCCTGGGTTGCAGGCCAGGTTCCCCGCTGGGAGGCGTGCAAGAGGCAACCAACTGATCTCTTGCATACTGATTTTTCTTTCCCTCTCTCTAAAAATAAATAAATAAAACCTTTAAAGAGTGGAAGTTATTAGCTCCAGGGCAACAAGCATCACAGGGCAATTTCTGTCGCCAAGCAAGTGCCAAGCAGCCCTCCCGGCCTGCCAGGTGTCAGTTCAGTCCCTGCAGCACAGCCAGCTCGGGCCCAGCCGAAAATGGTGTGCCAGGCAGGGGCGCAGGGCCCTGCCTCTGCAGGCAGACCTGGCTGAAATCGCTGTTCTGCAGTGTGCGTGCCCTGTATCAAACCACTTAACTGCTCCTCTGTAAGATAGAGCTAATAATAATACCCACCGGACGGCACTGCCTGGCACATAGGAGGGACTCAGTAGCGTTAGCTGTTGTGGTTACTGTGAACAGTAGCTTAGGTGATGGTGGAGGTGCTGTGCAGGTGGGGTGAGAGAAGAGAGCCTAAGCTGTCTGCCGAAGAGGACGCTGCTCTGACAGCGCTAAGCCAGGTCCTGTGCGCTGGCTGTGGGCGGCTGACGGCTACGAAGAGACCCACGGGCAAAGGAGGCTGCACCTTTCTCGCCCCTGCTAGTGCTGGGCAGTGTGGAGCTGAGCCCTAATGCCTTTCACATGGGAGCTCTGCTCTCTGCCTGACCCCCTAGCTTCCCAAGCAGCTTGTACGTGAGAAACCCTATCTTCGTGTGAAAGCTTCCGAGGAAGCACGCCGTGAGCATGGGAACCAAAATCTCCCTGGGTTCAAATCCCTAGCTGGGGGCTTTACTAGGTTACCCCACCCGTTGGAGCCTCAGTTTTCTCACCTCTAAAATGGGGATAATAATAGTACCTCCCTCACAGGGCTACTGCTTGGATGGAATGCCTGGCACATAATAAGTGCTGTTATCATCTTGGAGAAAACAAAAGCCCAGAGCTGCCCCAGACGCAGTGAGAAGGGGCTCTGGACCCCCACCTGCTCAGCTCTGTTATCCCCCCTCCACCTACAAGCTCCCCAGAAGGGACTCTGAGAAGCACAGTGTGGCAGTCACTTGTCTGTCTCCATCCCACCTGGGGAGCTTCCTTCCGCTTTCTGAGCTTAGCTTCCTTTGGGTCCCAAGTTGGGGAGTACCATTCCATCTTCCTTTCCTCCCTAGAGCCTGCTGAGGGCAAGTGACTGTTGTGGGGCCAGCAAAGAGCCCTCTTTCAGGCCAGGCCTGAATAAGGGATCAGGTTCTGGGCTCCCTGAGGCTTGGGCTGTATCCAGCACAGCTGTGGGCCTGTAGGTCAGAACTGGGTTCTGGGGCTGCCTTTGCTGTGCCTGCTGGCTTCTGGTCGTCTCCCCACAGCACCTACAGGAAGAGCGCAGCAAGAGTCTGCCGGGGGCAACAAGGACACTCACCATTGAGTGTTGGGGGCGTGGAAGGAGATCCTAAGGGGGATGAATCATCTGAATCCAGGTACCAGGTGGCTTCGTCCATGCGGGACCTTCTCCTGGTTACAGGAGGGGAGGGGAGTAGTGCTTCGTGAACCTCAGGACTGGTGAGAGGCAGACGATACTGGAGTTGGGGCACTCAGGCACTCACCTCCCATTCTGGGCTTCCCCAGGCTTAGGGGAACTGGGACCCCAGGCCCAGCATGCTCGACGCTCTCCATTGCTCGAGTCCTCCTGACGTCGGGGGGACTGGCGGCCCCATGCCTGGCCCGGTTCTGCAGGCTCCACTGTCGGGGGAAAAACCGATGGGGTCTGAGAGCCCTCGTCCTTGTTCTCCCCCATCATGAGTCATGCTCCAGGTGTGATGCCAGAGGACGGGAGTCCCAATCCACCCCCAGGGCGGGCTCTGAGCCATGGAGAACTGAGCAGAATTGGGGCTGGCTGCGTGGGACTGGGTCCTGGGGCAGGCTGTCGGGTGGGGTATCTTATCTAGTCAGTCCTTCACCAGGCATCTGCTGCTTACTAGTCTGTATAAACACAGCAGAATACTGCCTAGGCTTTAATTCTGACTCTTATTAGCTGTGTAATGTTAAGAAGGTTTTTTGTTTTTTTTTTCACTTTTCTTACGTATGAAAATAATAAGGACAGTTACCTCACAAAGTTATTGTGAGAAATTAAGTTAATATTAACAAAACACTTAGATAAATGAGGAGTCATAAAATTAGAAAATACTGATATCACACATCGTCTGACTTTTAAAAAATTAGTAAAATACATGCCAGTTGGGGATCTCAGGGATTGCAGGTTAGACTGGTAGGGGAGGGAGACTGGGGCAGGGAGGAAAAGGAGACCGGGTGGGATCCACCACCAAAGGTAAGTTTTGACAGGATAAGGGGTGGGGACAAGGACACAGAGAAGAGAGGTTTCTTACACTGGATGGCCCGAAACCGGGGAAAGGTGGGCGAGTCGCCAGCTCCGACCTCGAAGACGTTCCTCCTCCGGTCCAGGCCAGGAGAGGCCTGCACAGTGATGCGGTGTTTGAAGTCTGGGTTTGGGAAGGAAGCAGGGTGCGGGTTTGTGGTGAAGGAGAGTCCAAATCCCAACGGGTAGGGTCTCTGGGCCGGCTCGTAGCCAGTGCAGGGACAGGGCCTGGTACGGCGGCTGTGTGACTGTGGCCAGCCTTGTTGCCTTCCTGGACCCCCAGCTGTCGGTAAGGGAAGGCAACCGCCCAGATTCCGCCACCAGAGCAGCGCCGCGGAGTCGGAGCCTCCCGGGAGCCTGCCCGCCCCGCCCCTCGGCCTTCCCAGAACTTCCTTGATCCCCGCCCCTTCCCGGCTGCAGCCACTCCCAGGCCGACATGCAAATATTCCCGCCGGAACCCGCCCACAAACACGCCGAATCCCAATCCCAACCAGCCTTCAGCTGAAGGACCCAATCCATCACGAACGCCCAGCCCCACCCCTCCATCCACGCAGCCAATGGCGGAAGCCATGCTGGGGCCTGCCCCTTACCGAGTGGCATGCTGATGCGCTCGCCGCCGTCGCGCGCGCGGAGCTTGCTGCGCTTGAAGGTGCCGCGGCGGCGGCGCACGTGCGGCCGCTCGCGGTCCACCTGCTGCAACAGTAGCGTCAGCTCTCGCTCGAACACCTCCAGCTCCCACTGAGCCAGCAGGTGCTCGCGCCGCCGCAGCTGCTCTGCCTGTGATCGCTGCTCGCGCGCCGCGCGGGTCAGCTCCTCCTCGCGGCTCAGTAGTTCCTGTGTCCCGGACAGTGAAGGCGGTGGGGTCAGTCCCAGACAGATCCTGGCTCCCGCCCCGACTCCCTGCTCAACGCGGACTGGGGAGGCACTCCTTCCGGGCGTCTCCTTACTACCCCCGGGCCCTGACTCCTCCCACCTTTTCCTTGGCCCGCAGCTCGTCGAAAAGGCCTTGGATCTCACGCTTCCAGCCTTCCTGCATGGAATGGAAGGAGTCCCGCGGCATTTCCCGCAGAACCTGCGCCTCCAGTGCCTCCAACTGCTGCAGGATGGAGGCGAAGTCGGGCCTGCGATGGGGGTCCTGCGCCCAGCAGTCTGGGGACACAGCGTGGAGGGGGGACAATAAGAAGAGGTCTGTGGGTGGATTTGCCTTGGGCCAAGGAGCTCTGTCCCTCACCCTCGCGCGCCATCCCCTTACCGGCCATGAGCTGTGCAAAGGGCTCGGGGCAGGTGGATGGGATGGGTAGTGTGAGCTTGTTAACAGCCACTCCGTAGGCCACAGCAAGGCAGTCGATGCCACGGTAGGGCACCTCCCCAGTCAACAATTCCCACAGCAGCACCCCAAAGCTGTAGGGGAGACAAAGGATCTGTGTACCCTCCTCTACTCACTGCCATTTCACCCCAAAGCAACCAGGAACTAAATGGTTTGGGTCCCCCTGCTCCCGCAACCTCCACCTGTCTGCCCAGCCCTATGCTTTGGCGGCCACCACTGCCCTCTGCAGCCCCACTGCTGGCCCTGTCCAGCCTCCAACCAGGCTGTACCTCCAGACATCGCTGCCCTTCGAGAAGGTGGAGGCCTTGATAACCTCAGGAGCCATCCAGGCATAGGTGCCCGCAGCACTCATTTGTGTGGTTTTGTGCCACTCGCGGGCCAGGCCGAAGTCAGTAATCTTCAGGGTCTTGTGCTCCATGTCGTCACCCTCAATGGGCTGCAGCAGCAGAACTAGGGAAGAGGGGCAGGACTGGTTGTTCCAGGCTCAGGTGGTGGGAAAAGGGAGGAGCTGGGAGCAAACTGTCACCTGACAGACATATGGCTAGGTACTGGGGGCACGGAGGTGACCTTGCCCTGGAGAGCTTGCTGCTGGGGTTGGGGTAGAATCCAGACAAAAATAACAATGCTGGGCAACGTTTACAAAGGGGCTACTATAAGCCAGGCATGTTACACTCCGCCCTAGAAGTCACACAGAAAAACCTGTCGGGTACACATTATTATCCCCATTTTATAGATGAAGAAACTGAGCAAGGAAATGACTTGGCTAAGGTCATAAGCAAATTAAACACATTCCAACCTAGTCTGAGTGGTTCCAGATCCAGTCCTGTAACTTTCTCCCAAGACTGCTTTGGATAGAAACCAGCAACATAGCAGCCTCCTAGCACTTACGGCTTTCACTTCAACCCATGTCTTGTCATTTTGCTAAGGCAGAAGTGTGAATCAGACCCTCCCTTGGGGTGGGGAGCAGGAGGGAGCCCTCTGGTGAGAAAGGACGCCCAACAGGCACCACAGGCCCCTGGTGCCCATATCGCAGTATGGCTAGTGCAGCCACTCCCAGGGGAGAGAGACTCCAACAGATAACTACTAATGCAGTTGGATGTGGAGAGAAAGGGAGGGGTCTGAGAAAATGATGGTTCTTGGCCAGAAAGGAGGAGCTTGGGATAAATGTAGGAGTGGATGGTTAGACTTGGCAGGGGCTCATGGCTTGGACCCAAATGGGGCCACCATACTCTGTACAGAGAGAAGCAGCAACTTGCAAACCTCTCATCAGGAAAAAACATGGCTCAGATGAGAGAAGTTTGAGAGGAATGGAAAGAGGACAAAGCCACAGAATCATCAAGGTTCTAAAAGGGCCTCTCCACTTTTCGGGTTATAGACACTACACTGTAGAGAAGTGACATCCAAGCCAACCGTGTTTCTGAACGTGCCATTTCAGGGCACATCTCTCAGCTCTCCTGCCCAGGCAACAGCCCCGTAATGGGGGCAGCACGGGGTACTTGGGGTGGAGTACCGGCATGCCACTCGGTAAGGGGCGGGCCCAGCACCTGATACAGCCCAGTGAGTCAGAGAAGACTTCTCAGAAGAGGTGGCAGAACCAGGGTATTCACTTTTCCAGGCCTAAAGCCACAACTCCCGATCTGCTTCTGGTCAAGCTCTCTGGGCCTTGTAGGGGCATCTGGCGCTTCCCAGCCCTGCCCTGATGCCTTTCGCTCCCGGGGCCTCTGGCTGCTTGTGCCGTTTCCTTCAGGGGCTCCCCTACCCTCAGCCTGTTCAGGGCCGGTGTACCTGAGAGCCTGGCCTCTCATCAACCTCTGCCTGCAGGCCCCAGATTGCCTTGGTCTCTCCCAGGTGCCAGCCACCCATGGCATCTCCCATACTTGGAGATCTAGGCCAGCAGTCAGCTCAGCTGCCCATCAGCTGTCCGACCTGATCTTCGTATGCCCTCAACAACCACCTTCATCACCGCCCCATGGCCAGTAAATCTTCCTGCCATTTCCCGACTCTCTGCAATCCACCCTCCCCTCTGAGCCAGACTGGGGCTGAGTCCTGAACAGTTAATAAGGCTGAGGATGACAACAAAAGCCACCTCAGAGGGTTGTCCCGAGATCCCCTTTCTGAAGCCTCAGCACAGGGTCTGACACCCAGCATGAGCGTGCTAAATGCCAGCTGTCCTAAAGGTTCTGTCGCTTACTACCATCTCTCTGCAGACTCTCTCCTTCGTCCTCTATCACAACTTACTCCCAGCTTCGCAACAGCCTCTGTCCGGCCTGGCTGCTGGAGGCTCAGACCCGGCCCATTCAGTAAACCCTACGCAAGCTCATTCCCAAGAACAACAACAGGCTGGGGGCAGGCAGCTGGAAAGGACACAGGCAAAGGGGTCTATGTGCCAGGGTTGGGGAGGGGCTCCTGCCACCTCTGGTGCCAGGAACCCAGCCATCCTCTGGAAGACCAACCCTTGCTGCTTCCTGGCTGGGTCTCCAGGCACATGCGGTACCTCACACCATACCTCAGGCTGGGAGGCCAGCCTCTTCTTTTTAGTCAGCTGATCTGAGGCCCAGGTAAGTCACCCAAAGTCTCAGCACTTCTTCGTACTGATAGCCTTTCTGCCACCTCCCACCCTCAGCCTGACCTTACACCTTCAGAGCCTCCTCCTCTCCTCTGCGTCTCCTATTTTTCTCCAAGTGCCTCGAATTTGTCCCAACCCAAGTTGCTCTTCTGGTGTTTGATGTATACCTTGGGGATGGGGTGGTCAGGGGCTACCAGAAGAGAGGGGGCTGGAGATCGCCCTGTCAGTGCCCCCTTAGGGCTCCCTGGCCCCCAGCCCCCTCCCACGCTGGCCTCTTGTGGGGCTTGGGAGTGGCCTAGGCAGCTCACACCTCTTCCGCTTCCCTCCCATGGTCCCTACTTCTCCTTTCTGGGGGCCTGGCCCAGGTCTACAATTGGGCGGGGGGTTCTCTGGGGGGGAATTGGGGGAGGTCAGGCCCAGGCCGGGCTGGCTGGTCAGTCCTGTGACTCGTGGGCCTGGAGAATTCCCCCTCCACTCCCCGCCAGGCTTCCTCACAAGGCCCCCATTGTCCAGGAAAATCACGCCATTGTTTCCTGCCTGCGCCCCCCCAGTCCAGGGACTCCCCCGCCCCAATCCCGCAGACAGCACCCCAGGCCTAGGACTGGGGTCTGCAAGGTGGGAGGCCAGGCTCAGGGAGGCTGCGGGCGCCCTGCCTGCCCTTCGCCACCACCCAGGCTCTGGGAGTGAAGCAAGGAAACGAGGGGAGTGGGGGTGCAATCCCTGGCTCCTTCCTCTCCCACAAACCCCCCACCCCCAGCGCTTTCCTCCCCTGCAGGCAGCTGGGTTGGGGAGGGAGCAGAGGCTGGAGCAAGGGCAGGAAGCCGGCTCAGGGGCAGCAGGAAACGCAGGAAGCGGTGGGGAGGGTGGGGAGCAGAGGACTGGGCTATTGTTCCATTTTTTCTGGAAAGAAAACTGGAGGAAAAACAGAAGACGGAGTCCCCTCCCCCTGGGGCCTTCGGGGAATCCCCCTCAGGCTGTGGCAGGGAGTGGGGGGTCCCTAGATGGCTAGGGCACAGAAGTGAGGTGGAGAGGTGGAAACTGCCCCCTACTACAGACTAGAGGAGTGGGTGGGGTGGCTCACAGACATCCCCTGGCCCCTCTGCCCTGGCAAGGACTTGGGTATCACCAAGTCCTGGCGTTTGCTCTCCCCAGGTCCCTTGTCCATGGTCAGCCCAGGCCAGGAGGCTCCAAATAGCCATGCTCACCCCTCCATGCCTCTCCAGTAACCTCACTGGCCCTTCCTATACTTCCTTTTGCTCTATAGCCTGTACCCTAGGCCCCAGCAGGCCCAGCCCTGGGTCCTCACTAGTGTGCTGGATCCTGCCCCCTGAGCTTTGCTCCCGTCGGGCCCTGCCTGGACACCCAGCTGGGTGCCTCTGTGAATGCTGCCTGCTTCTGGCCTGGTGTGAAGCCTGCCTGCTTGAGGAGGCCCTCTGAACCTGTCACTCCTTGTTCTGGTCCCCCGCCGGGCAGTGCACGGGGTCTGAAATGGCTGGGCATGGAGTGCCTAATCCCACCACGCCTACCCCAGGGCCGATTCCAGGCGAGGTGCTCCCACCCCCAAACATCCCCAGTCCCAGCTGGGAACCCACTGTGCGCCGGCATCAGACACCAGGGCTTGCCGAGCCTGTTAAGCTATTTCCCTCTCCCCGTTACTCCCTTTTTACAGAGTCTGAAATTGAGGCTCTGAGTTGAAATAACCACCTAGCGGTTGTGCAGCCAGGGGGAGGGGTATAGCCAGAACTCCAGCCCTGGCATCGGCCTTGAGCTCCAGGACCACCAGGCTGGCCCTTCGGAGCTCTCCGTTCCAGAGTACCTGCGCTTCCCACGCGGAGGGGAGCCAGAGCACCACCAGCACGAGTGTGAAAGTTAGGGGCCGGAGGACGAGGAGTGCCCGCATCCAGTGCTCTGCTTCCTTGAGGTGGTGGCCGTGGCTGGGCAGGGTCATTATGGCCCACCTGAGAGATCCCAGTTTTTTTAACTTGGCAGCTGTGAGCTGGGGTCAAGGGCTTCTGTGGTTGGGAGCAAGACCTTTGGTGCCTGGTATTCCTACTTTGGGGACAGTGGGCATCCCAGTCAACTGGGACTCCCCTAGGGCAAGAGCTCCTGCCTCTAGCACCACAGAGGCCAGGCTGAGAGAGGTCTGGGGGCCAGGCACCCTTCAAAGGAGCCACCGGCAGGTTCAGCTGAGAGTTGGCAGTACGCGTGGGCTTGGGCCATGCCACCCTCCAACCACCGCTCCCCAAAACTCACTGTTGTTGGACTTGAGGTCTCGGTGGATGACGGGCACCAGGGCCTCACAGTGCAGGTAGTGCATCCCACGGGCAATCTGCACAGCCCAGTTGACCAGCACGTGGGGGGGCACGCGCCGCCCCGCCAGGGCACGGCTGAGGGGCCCGCCGGCTGCGTACTCCATCACCAGGCACAGGTTGGGCTCCTCGAGGCACACGGCCTTGAGGGCAATGATGTTGGGGTGTGCCAGCATGGCGAAAAGCCGGGCCTCCTGGCGCACACTCTCAGCGGTCACACTGATGTCCTCATCGGGGTCCTGTCGAGCTGCCTTCACAGCCACCAGCTCGCCTCGCCAGCTTCCACGGTAAACCTTGCCGAAGCCACCAATGCCGATCACCTCCTCCAGCCGCAGCTCCTGGAAGCTGGCCACCTCGCAGGGGGGCGGGCCGCCCCGAGACACATAGTTGGACGGAAAGATGCCTACCTGGCCGCCTACCTGGCCCGCCCACCAGCCCTCATCGCCTGAGATAGCTGCATCCCGGGACAGCACCTCCACACGGTCACCCTTCCGCAGGGCCAGCTCGTCCTGCCCATTGGGCTCGTAGTCGAACAAGGCTGTCCACACAGGGTTGGCATAAGCCGCTGCTTTCGGGGACCCCTCTGGCCAGCCTCCGCTGCTGCCCCCGCTGCCCCCACTGCCACCGCCGTTCCATGACCCCAGTGGACTCTTGAGGAAGAGGTTCTTCAAGGGCTCCATGGCTGGGAGCCGGCGTTGGGGCTTGTGGGGGACCTTCCCTGGGTGCCCTTGGTCTCCACCCCTTCTGGCTGCTGAGGCCCTAGTCCCGGAACCTGGGCATCCGGGCCCTGGCCCTCAGCCCCAGACCCACGCCTCTCTGGGGAGCCAGGCGTGTCGCCTCCTGGCCCGCCGCATCTCGGGCTTTCTGAGGAGGGCCACCCAGGGCAGTGTGGTCAGGCTCGCGGGGTGGGACCCCGAGGTCTCTGGCGTCTCACCATTGCCAGCTCAGAAGGGCCCCGACGTCCCTCAGTCCCAGAGCAGTCCTGGGAGCTTGGTTCCAGCACCCGCCAAGTGTAAGGTGGAGCCAGCCAGGGGCAGCGCCTGGACTCCGGTTGGGTCTTTTTGCGCAGGGGTGGCTGGAGTGTCCCTAATTGGGCCGGGCTGCCCCTTCCTGGCCCAGCTCCCTCGGCCCAATGGCTCCAACCCCCGTTCCCTTCTTCCTCCTCCCTTTGTACTTTGGCCCCGGGGGCGGGAGGCAGAGGTGGAGGGTGGAGTTTCACTTTTTTCCGCTCTTCTCCCTCCTGCAGGAAACAGCATCAGATGACGCGAGCGGGTAGCACCGCTCCCCTCCCAGAGGCTGTGGGAGACTGAGCCTGGGCAGTTCTCGGGTCGCGGTCGAGGAGAGGCAGGAGGGGAAGGGTAGCCCCGTCCCCTGTGGGAGTTGCCTCTGCTAAGGACGGGCCACCCCCGCTCTGTGCAGCGGCATCAGTATCAGCAAAACTGGGTAAAGAGCCTGGTTTGGAAGTGGGGCAATCCTGAGTCTGGTCTTGGCTCTGAAGTTGTGACCCATTCTCTCTGCGCCTCATTCTCATTTCTGAAATGGGGACCAGAAGCTCTGCTTTGCAGAGCTAGTGGGGTGGGGGTGGGGGTGGGGGAGACTGGAGGAGGACGGAACTGGCTGCACCTCAAGCTCTTGGAACGGGTTGTCTAAGGCTCTCTCCTCTTCCCTGCACTTGGGAAAAATTCACTTCTTCATGCCCGTTCTCCAGTGGGCAGAAACCTGAAACTTGTCCCGAACTTTGCCCAGTGATTGGATTCAGAATAGCTAAGTCGCCCTCACAACCGCAAGGTTGACCCCTTGCCTTGAGCCTGTCACTTTAAGAAAAACGACGCTCTCGTATTTCGATTACTCCCGCCTGTTAGGGAGAATCGCCCTATACATGCCAACTGTGAGCTCTGACCCGGAAGTACAGGCAACTCCAGTCGACAGATCCTCGTGACGTTTGAAGTCCGGCCCTAAATGGGGCCGACCAGGAGGGGCGTGCTCTGATGGCGCTGAACTCTCGCTGCAGCCCTGGGGAGTCCACGCCTCCATTCTTTTACCCACCTCCTGTGACTCACTGGGAGAGCTTTGCGCCTATTAACTCCGCCCACTAACAGATCCTCCGCCTGGGCGTGTGGGCCTGCTCACCAGCGGTTGGTTCTTCGACCCACACCAGAGCACCTTTGGTTCCACCCAGTGGTAGTTTTCTCCTGGTTGGCAACGCCTAGGTGTTGCGCATGCGCTCAAGCACTTGTACGTTTTTTTGGATACCCTTCTCTTAGACTCGGACTCTGCGCAAGCCCAGAGGGCTCCCCGGCTTCTTGTCGCTATACCGCCTTCCTGCGCTTGCGCATATATGCCGTCAGGTTTTCCTTTTCCGGGTCCCAACTGGGTCCGTCGGGCGCATGCGCCACTGCAAGCAGGCGGCTCGCGGCTCCTTCTTCCGGCCTCCCCCTTGGGCTGGCTCCTGCAGGAGCGGGGCGATTGCTGATCCCGAAGCGAGTGACCTGTGACCCCGGAAGTGGACCTCAGGGTCCGGGGTTCTCCCCGGGCTGGAGCCGGGGAGCCGTCGCCTGCAACCCCGGAGCACCCACCCCACGCCCACCTCTGGATGCTGCCGACTGGTGCCCGGCCCTTGCCCCGTGCCTGCTTGCCGGCTCATCTCCTCCTAGCAGTTCTGGGCCGGGGGTGGGGGCCCGGACCCCACCCCTGATGCGGTTCCACCGCCGCGCCCGAGCCGCGCACCGCTGACTGCCCCGGCCGGCCCCGCCCCCTGCCCGCACCCTCGCCCCGTCAGCCCCTCTTCCCCGCTGCGGGGGAGGCCATGGCGTGAGCGCGCGGCCGAGCCCCGGGGCCTTCGGGCGCCAGGCGGGGCATGGGCCGGGGGCCGCCCCCATGAAGGTCCCAGGAGGGGGGCGCGCGCAGAAGCGGCGGGGCCATGGGGTCGCAGGTGTTACAGATTCTGCGCCAGGGGGTGTGGGCCTCGCTCACAGGCGGTTGGTTCTTCGATCCGCACCAGAGCACCTTCTCCAACTGCTTCCATCTCTACGTCTGGATCTTCCTGCTCACCTTTCCTTTTTTGCTGTACATGGTGAGACGCTGCCACCACCTACCTGTAACTCCCGCCAGCGGAAGTTCAGGCAGATGTGACAGAGGGTTGGCAGCCTGGTAGGGATTCGGGACTGCACCTTGCGTGTAGGGGTGCGGAGAGAGGAACCTTCGCAGAGTTTGGGATGTGTGGAGGAGCCACATTTTTCCTTTCCTGGGCTGAGTGACCTTGAGCAACTGATGTAATTTTTCCTGTTAGAAGACAGAACTCCTAGTTGGGTATTTGTAGTAGTGTCACTGAGAGGTGATGAAGTCTTCCTGTGAACTTGTGACTCCTAGCCTTGACTGTGGTGGTAGGTTCACCCCATGGGGGTAGGGCTGTTGAGGAGGGGCCTGACTTGCTTTTGCTGACACCTCCAGGTCCTGCCCCCCAGCTTGACGGTGGCTGGTGTGTACTGCCTTGTGGTGGCTGTCATCTTCACTACCATCAAGACTGTAAACTACCGGCTGCATGCCATGTTCGATCAGGGCGAGATTGTGGAGAAGCGCAACTCCACCATGGGGGAGCAGGAGGAAGAGCCTGCTCAGGGGGACAGCAACCTGCTCAGGTGGGTCGGGCAGGGGCTGTGTTGGGGACTGAGGATTCTTGATGTGTGGGCCTGAGCATTGGAGGATGGAGGAGGGGCTTAGGGAGCGTTGGCTCCACGCTTGGTTGATACTTACCCTGTGGGCTCTGGAACTTGAGGAAAGAAACGATGGGCATGGCAGAGGACGTGCTATGTAAAGAGAGTAGGGTCGCTCAGTGGTAATTCTGCTTTCCACTGCCAGGGATCCCGGAGTGGAGATGACAGTGTTTCGGAAAGTGAGCTCCACGCCCCCAGTACGTTGTAGCTCCCAGCATTCCGTGTTTGGCTTCAACCAGGTCTCGGTGAGTAATCCCAGCCCTCGGCCTTTCCCACTCCTCTCCTGGGAGCCTTTCTCCCCGTGGGTGTGTCGTGGACCTACTTCCTGCCCTTTTTGCTGCTTCACACCTTTCTCCGTCTGCTCAGGAGTTGCTGCCCCGGATGGAGGACTCTGGGCCTCTCAGAGGTAGGGGACTGCTGCTCAGGGCTGAAGATGGTAGGGGGGAACGGGATGGCACGCAGCTGCCCTGGGCTCCTGCTGATGCCGTTGGGGCCACGCTTGCAGACATCAAGGAGCTGGTGCGGGAGCAGGGCAGCAACAACGTGATCGTGACCTCGGCTGACCGAGAGATGCTAAAGCTAAGCTCTCAGGAGAAACTGAGTGAGTGAGCATGACGTGGTAAAGGCTTGGGGTTCCAGCTATCTTGTTTTTGAGTCACCCCAACTTTGCTCCCCTGGTACTTTCTTTGTTCTGGATGGGGCTTCCCGAGGGCCCTACCCAGCTGGTCTCTCAGGGAAAGCAGAGGCCACAGGACCCCTTAGCCACCAGTTGTATTTGCGGTTTGCCCTTCACTCACTGTCTGCCTTCCTTTCTCACAGTTGGGGACCTACCCCAGACGCCCCCGGGGGCTGCCCCAGAGCCCTCTCTCCCCAGCACAGACTCTTCGGAGCGCTCTCCCCTGGCTGGAGGGGGACCGCCCTGGAGTGGGAGCAGTGTTGCAGACACTCCCATGAGCCCCCTACTGAAGGGGAGTCTCAGCCAGGAGCTGAGCAAGAGTTTCCTGACCCTGACCCGGCCTGACCGGGCCCTGGTGAGGACCAGCAGTCGACGGGAACAACGCCGCGGAGTGGGTGGCTACCAGCCCCTGGACCGGCGGGGCTCGGGGGAGCCCATGCCCCAGAAGGCTGGCTCCTCAGATTCCTGCTTCAGTGGCACCGACAGGGAGACGTTGAGTAGCTTCAAGAGTGAGAAGACCAACTCGACCCACCTGGACAGCCCCCCAGGTGGGCAAGCCCCCGAGGGCAGTGACACAGACCCACCGTCGGAGGCCGAGCTCCCAGCCTCTCCAGATGCTGGCGTCCCCTCAGATGACACACTGCGTTCGTTTGACACAGTCGTAGGAGCAGGGACGCCGCCAGGCCCGGCTGAGCCACTCCTGGTTGTGCGGCCCAAAGACTTGGCCCTGCTTCGGCCTAGCAAACGGCGGCCACCCATGCGAAGACAGTCCCCACCCGGCCGTGCCCCTCGGCGGCCTCTGCTGGAAGGTGGGGGCTTCTTTGAAGATGAAGACACCAGCGAGGGCAGTGAACTGAGCCCAGCCTCCAGCCTCCGATCTCAGCGCCGCTACAGTACTGACAGCTCTTCCTCTTCCTGTTACTCCCCCGAGAGCTCTCGGGGCGCAGCAGGGGGCCCTCGGAAGCGACGAGCCCCCCATGGGGCTGAGGAGGGGACTGCTGTGCCCCCCAAGCGGCCCTATGGGACCCAGTGGACACCTAGTACCGCCAGCGCCAAAACACACGCCCGTGTGCTGAGCATGGATGGGGCAGGGGGCGATGTCCTAATGGCCCCGCTGGCTGGCTCCAAGGCCGAGCTGGAGGCCCAGGCTGGGGTGGAGCTGGCTGCCGGCGAGCCCACTGTGCTGACTGCCGAGTCCCGCAGGGGACCTGCTGCCAACCAGCCTGGCTGGCGCGGGGAGCTGCAGGAGGAAGGTGCCGTTGGGGGAGGTAAGTGCCAGGCGCAGGGCAGGGAGATGGCCAGCTAGGCAGGGGCTTGGCTTCGGGCAAGGAGCGTGCCGGTCAGTTGGCCCAGCCTACCTCGGGCCACAGATGGCTGGGAACTCAGCAGCTGGGTGTTGCTGTCTGCCAGACCCTCAGACAAGCAGGACGCAGCAGTGGGGAGACGGGCAGAGAGGTCTCTGGCACCTTGCTCTCGGTCCTGCACTTAGCACCTGAAGCCTCTGTCCCTCGAGGACGCAGCGTCCACGTTCATCGCCGTGGGCCACCAGTAGAGCAGGGCAGATCGTATTGTCCTTATTTCCAAGTGTGGAAACGCTGGTGTGAGTGTTTAGGTGAACTGACTGAGCGCTACACTCAGGGCGTGGTTGAACCAGGCCTGACCTTATGTCCAGACAGGAGCATGTGTCCCACCCCTTTCCCTGGCTCTGTTTTCGCCACTGTCACTTATGCTTGGGGGTCTCTGTGGGGTGCAGCTGAGGAGACTGGCAAGCGGGACCACTCAAGCAACGTGAGGCGGACCCAGGCGATCCGGAGGCGCCACAATGCCGGCAGCAACCCCACTCCTCCAGCATCCGTCATGGGCTCGCCCCCTAGGTGAGTGCCTGCTACTGGCCAGAGGGTGGTGGCGCCAGCTGGCTCTAGGTGGCACTGACCCATGGCTGACCCTCTCCAGCAGCCTACATGAGGCTCAGCGGAGCCGGGCCGCCTCCCACTCCCGGGCACTGACGCTGCCCTCCGCCCTGCACT